AATTCATGTTGAGTACAGGAGCAAATACTGTATGTGTACTTAAAAAAACCGGACTTCATATTTTAGCGCCTTTGGCGCCGACACCGATGATTCATGAATACCGCTAAGAAATCATATATACATGTAAATAAGAGTGTATTCGATTAAGACAACCCGTGTCAAACTAGTGTTCAATACGCGCATGCTTACTAGTTGAACTCTAGAAATCAAAATAAAACATCTCGTGTTGTACAGTGTTTATTTAAAGAGGCTGGGGGGTTGTGGCCATTTTTAGACTATATTGATCTCCTTTAGAAGAAGAGCTCCATATGAAGATATAGAAAATGATCAAATTTTAAAACTAAAATTTTTGAAATTTTTCTTTGCCAAATGATAGTTGACAGCTTAAGATATCATATCTAAAAAAATAAGTTAAATCTGGTGGTTAATTTGTGGTTAATTTGTTGACCCCCAGCCTCCTTAAATATGGCGGGTAAAACAGTATATCCCCCTCTCCTTCGGAGCGGGTGTATAAAAACAGATCAAAAACAAAAAACAAAAACCGACAATTGTTCAATGCATGTGAATATTCCAGCAGACACTCTGACAACTGGTTATAAATATCAAAGAAAAACTTTTTTAAAATGGACTTGGATTTATCTGGTTTGAACAGGACAAACAAAAGATTAATAAACAATTTCCCATTATCAAACAAACAATAACAGATAATTTCATACAAAACCTAATGACTGAAATTAATTGTTCAACAAAATGGATTTTTTTACAGACACAATTGAAGATTATTTGACCTTGCAATATTATTTAAGAAAGTCAATACCTCCTCTTAAAAAAAAAAAAAACAAAAAAAAAAAAAAACAAAAAAAAAAACAAAAAAAAAAAACAAGTAGAACACGAATGTCTTCACATAACCTTGCAACTGAAACTGGACATCGTAGAAATATTGTAATTGAAAATTTTTGTGAATTTTGTAAAACTTACATAGAAGAGAAGATGAATTTCATTTGTTTTTGATTTGTCCTCTATACAAAGATTGAGAAGTTAATAACTGGAAAAAAAACCCATCCGCATTCAAACTAGTTCAATAACTGAGTGTCCAAAATTTTTCTGAGCTTTGTTATTTCGGAATTTTTTTGCATTTAGCTTTTAAGTTAAGAAATAAAAAAAAGTTCTTTATATCTGTATATATGAATTTATTATATGTTACAATATTTGTTATATTCATCATGTATAGAAGCGCCATACAAAGCGAATTTGTTTTAAAATAAAGGGGCTGTAGCGCCATACCACACCATTCTGATTTTTCTGTGTATACTGTAAGAAAATTTTGATAATACGTATGTATTAAGCAAATAAAGAATAATACAGAAGTGTCAAAAATATTACATATTATACCTCCTGTAACTTTTTGCATGGGGTTTAACAATTGGTCAGAAAAGTACTATAGCTGACATTTTTCATTAATCCAGTGTTAGTCATAGGTTGTGAGAGACATATACTTGTTTAAATTTGTATTGATCTATACCACAAAAAAAATTGTTACGCCGGTTGGAAATAAACCTTGAGCTAAGTTGATTTAATGGTTTTTGAGGTCTTACGTGGTTGTGGCTTTTAACTTTGAGTCTGTAAAAATTATGTTCAATATTTAAACTAAATTTATCTTTAAAAAATTACTTACGTAATGGTACAATATTATGATTGAAGGCTGACAAGGTATTTCCATATAGGTATAACCTTTTTAAGTGTATATTTATTGTAAACAACAAAGCAGCTGGTTCTGGGGATGCGACCTCCATATTTATAAGATTATTACATGTATATGTAACTGCCCTTGCTCTCACATTGGAGTCTGAAATCATTTTGAAACTGAATTATATAACTAATTAACACGACATATCTATGTTACGATCGTTAAATCTACAGGAATAATTTTATTGATCAATATACATAGACATTTTTATAATCCAATAATTAGGCATAGTCAAAAAAAAAAAAAAGATAAACTTCTTTAAAAAAAAATAATTAAATACTGTCAATGATAACACAATAGTACATTGATGAGGTTAATCTGAAAAATAAACAAGGAAAAAAAGATGTCAAAATTATGCTGTAGACTTTTTTCATGGACGTTGTAAATTTCTAATACAAACACTGACAAATATATGCAGAAACAGTTTTCACATTTTCATTGCGACTTCACTTCCCGCCATTTTTTTTCACCTGTTACTCCAGGTAAACTGAGGAGTATACTCGCGTAACACGAGTTGGTCACCCGTGTCGAAGATGTCTTGTTTTATTTACAACTCTAGTAACTCGTGTAACTCGTGTCGCTAATCGAATACACCCTAAAATATACGGCGCAGAGGTGTGTAGCGCTAATTCATGAATACGCCAATAACTCTATACCTAGTGATTGCGCTAAACAAGGAATACGCTAATTTATGTACACGTACAGTAAACCATAAAAATACTATAATATATTATAGTAAACCATAGTTTACTGTAGTAAAACTATAGTAAACCAAAGCATCATTTTCACTGCATAGTAAATCAAAGTTCCATAGTATTTACTAGTGTTAATCAAAGTATAGAAGTTTTCACTACGGTAATTTATGTATTTTCTATGAAGTAAATTCCACAATATTTCCTAAAGGAAATCAAAATGTGTATTTTGACACTATCCTAAACTTAGTTCATTATAATTAACTGTACTATAATAAGCATTTTTTTACTATAGTTAATTTTAGTAATGAAATATGTGGAAACAATATTCGAGCTCAAAATTCCATTAAACATTACAAGATAGGAGCAGAGCAAACACGGACCTCTAAGACATCTGAGATGGGATCAGGTGTCATGGAAGAGTGAGCATCCCCTGCTTATTTCATCAACTTGTTTATCAATAAATTACCTCGTTTTAGAAATTGTTCATACGTAGAGCATGCTCTTGAGTATCGAATCAACTAAGAGATATAAATCCAGTATGCAGGTGATAAGGGTATATTGCTGCATAGGTAAGGGAAATTGACGATTGAAAAGTTAAAGTCATCACGTTTATCATAAAGCTTTGATGTTAGATTGCCATTAACACCTTTTTCATAAAATATCCAAATATGAAACAGGCCCCAAAACCATAAACTGAGAACAAACTTAAGTCAAATTTTCAATTCTGTATAACTTTGGAAATGATCAAGAAAATAAAACCAAATTTTCAGTAAGTGTTTGTATTTGAATATTTTACAAACCTGCAACTTTCAAAACATGTTTGTTGAATTTAAAATCAAGATATTTAAAATCTAAATTTTGACTTAAGTCTGTTCTCAGTTTATGATTTTGGGGCCAGATTTGTCACACTCTGTGGTATCTTTTATCTCAAACTCACCGGGATATATCGTATCGACATAAGAATGGAAATAACCATTGTTAATTGACAATACGTCGTCGATATATCTAAATGTCGATTTGAAGGCCAAAGCAAGTGTTTTCTTCTTTTCACTTAAAAGATTTTGAACAAATTCTGCTTCATATGAATACAAAAATAGGTCTGTTATAACGGGGCGCAATAGGTACCCATGGGAATTTCAATAGATTGTTGGTGTTGGTCTCAAAAAAAAAAACAACAAAAAAACAAATAGATATTGTCAGTCAGACACTCAAGCATCTTTTTATGTCAACCTCAGAGTACTTGTGTTTAGAATCAGATTGTTTTTTAACAAAGTAATTTTGCAAATGACCAATGACAAGGTAAGTAAATTTACGAGTTCCATTTTTATAGAAAAAGCAGCTGTCAACATAAGTTTTAACTAAAGTAATTCAAAATTTTCACTTTAGTTTTCAAGATAGGTTCACTAAGTTTGACTATAGAATATCATTATAGTTAACTATCATTATAGTTCACTAAAGACTTGCAGTCGGTCCTTCTGATGGGACCGTATAAACTGCTTGCTCGAAAAAAATCCCTCACTGCTCAATGGCCCTGTGTGTCGAGTAAGGTCTAAATTTGCAGCCCTCCACCGGCGGCGTACGCGTCTCCATACGAGTGAAAAAATTCTCGAGAGGGACGTTAAACAACAAATAAACAAAATAGACTTGCAGTAAACCAAAGTATCGTTTTTGTTTTAGTATAGTAAATCCAATTATCAAATTTAAACTATATAGTTAATCAAAATATCAACGTTTTTACTAAAGTAAATCAATCTTCCATAGTATTTACTATGTTTTTTTTCTCTTTGATAGTTAATTTTACACGAATTCCTACAAGGACGGATATCGGAAAAGTTCCTTTATTTTGATGAGAGTGTTCAGATAATTACGATAAATTAAAAATAAATGACCATTGACATCTAACTTAGAACTTTAGTAACCCATATCTTAGATTATAAACCGAAGTCATGTTCTGGGGGTAATGTGTGTGCCTAGAAATTTCCAAATACTTTGTATGATCATTTTTCATTTTTAATTTACTAGAAGTAGATAGGTACAAAGACTGCAATGAAAGTAGAATTGCTTACAAATAGCATATCATTGTTGCAAAGATGGTTCCAATCATTATTATAGACATTCTAATATAAACATTTTTATCTTTTCCTTTTCTTTATATTATGATCTTAAAATAAAAAAAATTAGTCTGGCAATGGCCTTGACCAATGAGGCATGACCTTAAGTAAGAATATGACCCACCTCGGGGACATCTGCAAAAACCTATTAAAGTTAGAATATATTCTAAATATAAATTTACCGGTACTAACCCATTTCCTTTTACAATTTTTTCACACTTTCTTTATTAAAAAAAAAATTGCTATATATATATATATATAGCTCCTCCTTTTGCTTGACCGAAAATGTGTTTGTATGTACATGCATATTCTTGAGGTTTGGCTCGTAAACCATTTCAGTTTGTCAGTTAAAGCAAATGTTAAGTCTCATCATAATCCATGTTCTTTTAATCTCATTTTATTTTATTCTGGAAACAAATCACCGGAAAAAAATACCAACAATAACTAAAGTTATAAAATTTAATAAAACCTGTGACCTTTGCAAGGACTCTAAACAATGTGCGAATTAAATTCTATTTTAATTGAATTGAAAGTTTCAATCATCTAATGAGGAAAGACGGCTCTACATCTATAAGGAGGATGATTCAAAACACTCCAAAACATATATTTTCAAGATAAATCTGTGAAGTAAAGAACGAAAGACAATATACAAGAAAAATAGCATGAATGAGACTTCAGTTAGTAAAGTTCTTTATATAACTAATTAAAAATCTAAATAATAACGCTGATTTTATTTCGTATGATTAGGAGAAGATATTAAGAATACCTGGACTATTTACTCATGTATGACAAAATTTTACTCTTCGTCAGATGGTTAACGTGTTATTGAGAGACTTAAGAGCGTGAAGAAAAAAAGAAACAATCTAATATATAACAATTATTTCATGTGCATTAGTACCAATGTCTTTAGTCAAGGAATATGTACATGGAGGATAAAAAGTTGTCAAGATTTAGTCCATATTGCAAATGACAACTGGACAACGAGCATGGTGCATAATGAAATCACTAGTGCTTCCTAGAACGGTTCTTCTAATTACACCAACTCCTCTAGTTCCAGTTACGATAAATTTGGCATTTTCTTTATGAGCAATATCTACAATTGCATGTTCGGGTTTCGTGTCTACTCTCTCAACACGTATTTCTGGGTTTACCTGTTTTAAAAAAATATAGAATGTCATTTGCTTAATAGATATAAAGCAGAACTAATGAAATACAATGTAAGTAATTTACGAAAAACTGTTGTAAGAGAAGAACAACCATAATTATCTTTGCAGTTAAAATTGTGAAGTTTCGGGAAACAAAATTGTCTCAATTCATTATACGAGTATCCGGATTTTGTTTTACTAAACGAATATTTCATTATTCCTTAGTTCATAGTGAAAAAATATGACTCCATTTAAAATATGTTTTCATGTTATTCGTTTTAGCTGTAAATATATTTTTGTATTCATTAAGGCAACAAATATAATGCCTAAAATTGAGAAGGACCTCAAAAAAAATCTGTATATGATTTCAAAAGGTTTAGTTATTGTGTTTATGAAGAATTGTCATCAAAAAATCAAAATTTACTTGAGATTCCTGAGCAAGTTTTGTGTACAATTCTTTCAAAGCAACGGCCTTTTTCTCAGCTTTTATGTTGAACTCTTCATGTCGTCCTGGACCTAGTCAAAAAGATAAGGAAATGCAAATCTACAAACTATATATATTTCATATCTTTAAATGACATGCATTGGTCAAAAGTTGCATTTTAAGAAAAAAATTGTAAAATGAAACAATTCATCTCTATCGCTAAAAGAACAGGGTAATATCTTGTATTGTTTATATACTAGTATAATTTTTATAGTTTAAAACTAACATAAGAGAGAAAAAATGTAGGAAATAATTTAACAAAACTCTTAGGATATTTTCTTTTCTTAAGATCAACTAGTGATTGATTACAATATATACTGCGAGAGTGTATGTTAACTTAAATTATTGTTAAACTATATTTAAGATTTTTCAGGCGTAAAAAGACTTGTAAAGCATCAGAATCATCTGCAATCAATGAAGCAACTTTTCTCTCACCATCAGCCAATTGTTATAATATAAACAATATTTTCATGTTCTGTAAAAAACAATAATCTGGTTCTGGTAAATTAAAATATATGTTCATTTTTATTTCGAAGCAACCTTAATCTTTTCACAATGGCCTGGGATTCAAGTCTGAGATTGAGTTGTGATGTTTTTACTTAGTTGCAGCCAGGATCTAGTCCTAAAATCTTTGGATCATGTCACACTTTGAGAACAGCACGTTGGTAGCTACTTTCATTTTCAGAGAATTGATTTAACATTTCTTTGCTTCTGACATCATCTAATATAAGTTTGTTACTGATGGAGATAAATGTATGCGTTACCCGTAATTGTTATTGAAGGAGGGAGAAGTTAATGTTTGTTAACAATAATACAATGTCGGAAGACAAACAGATGTCTCAAACTCCTACTTAAGGACCTGAACCTAGACAGCATAAATTTGAAAATTTTGAAACATGGTACATTATTTACGTCAATCACCCAAATTTCTGCCTGTCAAATATTCAGAAGGGAAATAGATTTATAAAGTTTTTAGTGCATCATTACGTTGTTCATCTCTAAAATCTGGACTTTGACCTGGACCACGAAGACCTTAAATTAACAGAGCATTTACTCAGCTTAAAATGATTAATTATCAACAAGGGGCACTTACAAAGTACATGACATAATGTATTTTAGATTTATCCCTTGGAACCCAGATTAAGAGGACCCTGGCCACACAGGTTTGGTGAAGGACTTAACTTGGTGACTGCAAGATGTCCAGAGGTAGAAAGAGGATTTTTTAATATTACATTTTCAGAAAACGATTATGTAAGCTCACCCTGGATTATGAACTTTGAAACCAGATGCCAGAACATTTGCAATTTCATGCATAGAGCTCTTTATAATTGAAACAACCTGCATGGAAGGTATTCAAATTTAATTTAGTATAATGCAGTTTTAACTATTAGCAAATAAGCACAATCCGCGTTCCTGACCCAGGTAAAATCACTTTTCACAAATTTAGTACCGGACTAATAATTCAATATTGATGTTCACCCAGCTTGTTTGACAGATCCCAGGCAATTATCTTTAATTAAAGTTGACTCATCAATTTTGTCTTCTTTATTACATGACCGTTTTTCCTTACCACCTGAATTGCTTCCCCAGGACCCATGGTTTTAATTTTGCAGAGTTCATTGTCACTATTTTTATTACGTCGTTTAAATGTCCCCGGTAAAGACTTTCAAATTCTACTTCAGCCTTGTGGAGTCTCCTCTCCTCTAAATCTAGGAGAGTTGCAATATTGAAAATTTCCTTTGTTTCAACCAAAGATGCTTATCACCTAAAATTCATTCTACAAAATTTATTTTTTAAAAGGTTTTAGGAACAGTTCTAACAATGTTCAAAATTATGCTCTGCTACTGAACAATTTAGTGATTTTGGCCATGTATATTATGTATAACCTCTACAGGTAAAGTTACTACATTCTAGACATTGTCCTAAATTATTTCACCTTCAAGCATGCAAATTGCTTAAATTATTCTTTGAAGGTGTACATTTCATATTTTTTAATTGTAAAGCACAGAAATCCATGCGGTTTGGTCAAAAAAGTAGAATTGTGAACATTATACAGAAAGTTTTTTTATTTCTTTATATTTTAGATATTTAATGTTTGGATTTCTTTATATCTTAGATATTTAATGTTCAATTGAATTTCTTTATATTTTAGATATTTAATGTTTGAATCATTTACAATGAAAATAGGTCCAAAAATATATATCAATCCAGGCATCCATCTTTTGTTGTATCATCTGTTGTATCATCTGTTGTATCATCAATATGAAAATAAGTTATGAATGAATATTGTGATTCAGAGTGTGAAGTAGCCTGTGATATTTAAAGATTACTCCAACTTGAATATTTTCATTTTTTTTCATGATACCGATCTCAAAATTTGTAAAATAAGTAAATACAGACAGCGACTTGCTTTCAAAAGTAACATAATTCATAAAGCATTTCATTACACTGGATTTTGAGTAAGTTGCTTTTTTCCTCCTTTTGCACACTTTCACTTAGTCATACTTAGAACATTGATTTTATGCCCCGAGGTCAAAATCTTTAACCTTCCTAATAACTTTTGAACCATACAAGTAAAAGACCTTATATTTTGCAAAATGATAGAAAAATATGAGAGCTTTAATATTTTACAATCATCATGTTTGTCTGCTTTTCTGTCTGTTTGTCCGTCTGTTAGTGTCATAACTTGGTAAATAAGAAAACATTTGAACCTCATATTTAACACAAAGATTGCTTGTGACTGAGACCTAAACCCAATATCATTTTGGGAAGTTCAAGGTCATGCACTGGCCAAAAAAGAGTAAATTCATGCCCATTCCATAATTTTTTAATGAAGAAACACTGAAGTTCACACCTCAAGAAAGATTACTTATGACCTGATGGTTTTTCTTTTAACAAAGGTCATTTGGATAAATTTAAGATCTCTTTCAAAAATGTAAACCTGTCCTTTCCATGTCTTGTAATGAAGAAACAGAGAAAGCTCCAACTTGACATAAAAATCACTTATGATCTGATAGTGTCACACAATGTCACTGCTGATAGAAAAATTGTATCATTCATGTTTGGTCCATAATTCCCCAATGGAAGATAATATTTACAACAAAAATTATTTATGACCATAGGGTGTTTTAGACTTAGAGTCATTTGGGCAAGTTCAATGTCTCTGGCAGAAAAAGGAAGTAAAACTCGGTTCGGGTCCATAGCTGTCTCATAGAGAAACATTGGAAATTCACACTTCAAACAAAGATTACTTCTAACTTGAGGGTGTATTACATGTACGATCTTGACCCAAAGACATTTGCTCAAGTTCGAGGCTACTTTCAGAATTATGTACAATTCCTTTCCAGTCTATAAAACTCTTATGGAAAAATATTAACAGTAGGTACTTCACACAAAGATTACCCATGACCAGATGGCATATCATGACCTTGAACAAAAACATTTGGCAAATTCAAGATCTCTTTTTGAAACATGTATAATTCTTGCCCTATGGTGAAATCTTGTAATGAAGAAACACTGGAAGATCGTTCTTTGCACAAAGATTTTTAATGAAAGGTTGTTTAGGACCTTGACCAACAATCATTTGGGGAATTTCAATGTCACTGGAAGAAAAGTTTATAAGTCGAATATGTTTATCGTTAGAAATGGCCCAATTTATCAAACACATCTTGTTTGTTTTAAAATATTAAAGTCGTCTATTCCACGCGATCCATCGCTTACTGACAGATTGACAAATTTTGATCTTTATACTCTGCAAATACAAACCTATTCATGTAGGTTATCACTTTTTCAGGCATAAAAAAAATGTGTCTAATCGGAATTCGCCATGTTGCTATAGTGATCGACATAGTAATCATTACACAAGTTTGGCTTTCCAGAAAGCCTGAAATGTCATCTCTTTGGCTTCATTAATGTCACAGAATAAACAGTGGAATGTTATATTATTTTCTCAGCTATTACAGGCAGTAGTATCGCTTTTGAAAAAATGGGGGGGGGTGGGGGGGTGGAGGACAAAAAAAAATCGACGATTTATCTGAACAATCTTTGACAAGGGGAAAAAGGGGCTATCCAAACTCAACATTTTCATTTCTTGGAAGAGAAGGAGGGATTACAACTTTTCCGACAAACATATTTTAAATTATAATACATTCTAATGGGATGAATCGACGTACCATACTGCAACAAAAGGTGGAAGAGGGGTCAAGGGTGCGCCTCTTCAATGTTTGGTGCTATGTGCCTGTATTATTTTACCTGTTGTAAATATGCTTTATTCAGTTAAAATATATTTTGTATAATGTCTGTAAAAATTTCTAACCACTGAGAAATATTCGTAAGAATTATTTAAAGTCATATATTGCGTTTTTTTTTTTTAAAGTTCAGACTACCTAAATTAAAAAGATCTTTCTATTTGATTTATTACTTTATATAAAAATAGGACTTTCCTGTAAATTACACAATTTAAATCAATCACGTTTCAAAAATATTAGAAATTTAAAACAAAAACCGATTTATTTACCGATTCAGATTTTAATTAACAGACACATTTTTTTTTTAATCAGTCGAACTATGGAAACATGAGGTTATTCAAGTTCAAAATCGGTGAAAAATTTAATTTCAACGTAAATAACATATATCATGTTTAGCTACACCCAATCTCGTATTTTTATTTTTTAGCTCAGATACGTCATATATAGCTTTAACAATTATTCCGGAAGAAGATGGATAAAAACAGCGTTCCTTTCGACTTTAGTTCTTAGCCGCCTACTACGGCAGCAAAGAAGTTTTAAAGCGCCAACTTAAATTAATCTGAACCTGAATTAATTCCCAAGACTTTCCTTATTTTCCTTAATCGTATCCTATGAAGTGACTTGGCCAACGAGCCACTGGGATTTGATTGATTATCGAGCCACTTTGAATATCAAGGGAAAAATTGAGACACTCCTGCATCATGCCCTTCTGCTGCCCATGCAGATTCATGTTCTAACGCTATATTATGTATAATATAAGTACATGTACATATATACGCTCCTGGGAAAAAATCATGCATAGAAAGGTAATAAAATTAAAACGTTACCATTTAAAATTAAGTATTAACACACCGAAAAGAACCCCAATCTACCAACATCGATTTTATAGGCTGTTCCATGAGACACACATTTAAAATTTAAAATTTTGGCTTTATTTCAAGAATACGAGGAATGATTTTTTTTTTTACCTTTTCTCATTGACAAAAAACGCAAATTAGAATTGCATAAAGAAAATTATAACAGTTGCTTTGTTTATTAATTCTTTAAATCTGGGCCAGGTAAAGAAAACTATCTTTTCTTATACTTTTCTACAGGGGTAAATTTAAATAAAAAAGAATAAAGTGCACATATCCGAGAAAATACTCATATAATGATTCTTTATGATCTTTATTCCAATGCCTGCAGCACTGAGTTACTTAAACCAGAGACATTTACAAGTATGTTTCTGCCTAAATTGTGCTTTTAGGTAAAATTTCTTTTCTTCGAAATTTATTTATTTATTTATTTTTATTTATTTATTTATTTATTTATTTATTTATTTATTTTTTGAATAAGTTCTGTTTTATTTTTCATATATATACGGCATTAATTATCGATTGACTAAAGTGCACATAAAAGTAAAGTTTTTGCCATTGTATATATGCATTTAATGTGAGTTGTTATTTAAATGTTTTCACTGTTTTCTTTCGTCAGTAAATCTTGGATCCACGCCTTGACTTATACATTCAATATGCCATGTTTTGTGTATTTTGATCCCTGCGCGCTGACCATCGTTTTACGCAATAGCCTAGATACAATGTTTATGTGTATAAACCGTTAATGAAGACCCACCACCACCCAAGTGATCCTACCCCTATTACTCTTAATGAACACTGGTGTAGTTTTACTTTAAGACGGACCATTTTGTTTAATAATAATAAGACAGACTTTGGTCAATTTTGTTAACATCTCTATATTTAGAAATCGTGTCATCGTCAGTTCCTTTGCCAGACCACCAGCTTATCAATGGCAGCTTACACTAGGACTTCACTTCCGGTGATTCAAACTTAATGTGTCATCTCCCGAGGGAGATGACAATCAGTGGTAATACAGCTAGTTTCCGGTTTTTGAGTTTTAACGTTGGCATATCTAGGTCAAGTCTCTTACATAATATCTATGCATGAAGTAGGAGAAAGAGATACATTATCGCACTTGCAAAAAAGAAGACTTAACGTGGAGTTATTTTAACACCAAATAAGTAATTATTATTTAATTAAAAGTGAGATTGAACATTAACAAGAACTCATCTGACTTGTCATACATCTATGCTTGTTGCTAAGAAAATATTTCATGTAGTTAAAGTTGAAGATATTTAACAATAGCACTTTTGATATAAATGATTAAAATAGAGAGTAAAATAATATTTATATCATTTTGCAATGATCCATACCCATCATATCTTTCATGAACAAATTCTCCAAAGCGTGTAGTAAAACGACTTTGTATTCCTCTTTATGAAGATGTTCTGCATACCCTGAAATTTTAGGTTTACAGCTTATTTATCAAGGAAACACCCATGTTCGAATATATTTAAGCATGTAACATAAATGTTCTTAAATATACTTTATCATGCACTTTTTACATTGTCACATTATTCAAAATTATATTAATCAGGCCTAAATAAGGACATTAAATGAATCATGGTATTTTTAGATGAGTTTTACTCGTCGACTGCAATTAAAATAACTATTTTTGTACAAGTTCTGGAAAATTCGTTGGCAAACAATAAAAAAAAATCAATATATTTATCTTACACGTAATATATTTTACTTTCTATGAAGTAAATCATAAGTTAATGCACTTACATCTGAATGCATACTGTGCGAATTTACTTTCATCGATAGCAATAACAACCGTAGCCATTTTAGGGGGAACTTCTATGTCGTCACGGATGTTAAGTATGGAGGTGTAGTTTTCAATACACTGTTACGTGTGCACCATTTAAAAAAAGGCACGAACTGGTTTTAACTTTATTAAATCACACTAAAAAATACCTGTGCTTGTTGTCTAGAGTTGTTGAACAATTTAAAGAATGTGAACGGAGGTGTAAAAGAAATTTAGAAAAGGGGTAGCTACGTACATTTTATTTCTCTCAAAATAATTATTTCGTAAGGGCTGGATAAGAGATAAATGCATATCTTATCTAAGTAACGTATACAGGCAATGTTTTTATCAACGTGAATCTGTGCTTAAAAAATAATCTGAATCAGTTAAAAGGTCTTCATTTTTTAAAAAATATTTCGCGAAGAATTCATTTGTGCAGTTCATGTTTAATATAATGACTGTGTAAATCTTCGTATACAGGGCTCCCCCTCCTTTTTCTCTCTACAAAGTACATGTACCTAACTCAGTTTTAGGCCTCCCCCACTTCAAGCTCGTATTTTATTAATATATTAATCATTAATTTTAACCTAACCTAACATGGCATAGTTCGCTTTGAGAGATTTTTTTCTATTTCCAGACGACCTTCGTCGAGTCTCTTCATTGCGAAACATTCATTTATTCCTCGGAAATTTTAAGACTTTACAGAAGACACAACGACTTCCGGTTAGGGATATAGTGTACTATTATACCGGAGACTTCAGAATTAAAAGCTAGTATATTACCTCCACACATTTTAAGACTTTTACAGAAGATACATCAACTTCCGGTTAGGGTTATAGTGTACGGTAAAACCAGAGACTTCAAAATGAAAAGTTAGGAAGTCTCTGGTTGTATATTCTGTAAAGTCTTAAATGTGCGCTTAACCTCTGACGTATATATAGAAAAAATACCTTTATTTTGCAAGTTTGTGCACAGACAATTTCCCTGGGATTGCTTTGGGGCTCTATATAATAATTATATACAGTCTTGCAAACGCTTTATAGATGATTGACAGTTTGTCATTGTAAAATTATTCTTAAAAGAGAGCCATTCTATCTTAAAAAATAGACATACGGTGTGCAATGACCGAAAAAAGAGTCGATTTCTTTCAATACAAGCAGAGTAGACCTTTGTATTCTAGTACATGTAGCACTTAATAATCTTACTACGTCTGGAAAGAAAATAAAATTTGCTGCACTCGGAGGGGAAAAAACCTTAATGCTTGTGAAATAAATTATAAAAAAAAACATTAGTGCGAATAATATTTCAACACCTAACCATTTTTGTGTGTTCAGTAATAGTAGAATATACTAAAGTTGAATGTGTGAGGAGGACCCTGAAAACACCTGAAATATGCATTCAAACCTTAGCTTTCCCCGTTTTTTCTCTAATTTTGTTAACCGTCCGATCAATTTGGTACATATGTAGGTGTCACTCGGCACACCTTGGCTGAAGTACCACGATAATAACCGAGGTGAGCCAAAATTTAAATGTACTTCCGTTTCTACAGTGAATGGAATTCTTGCTCTTAGAGAAAACGTTTACACAGTCAGCATATAAATGTATATATAAATATTAAAAAATAAATACGATTAGCATTAAAAGGAAGCTCTTCAATACATAATATTTTAATTTACAGGAAGCTGAAAAAGCATCTAGTAAACAAAAAAGTCGTCGAGTCATCATCTTCGCTAGCCAAGGGTTTCCGATCCGAAATCTACTCTACAACCCTTGGCAGATTTGGCTGAAAATTTTAGAACTCGTGCAAACGAATTTGATTGGCTGCGAAGTCCCAGTCTACGCAAGGTTTTTACTAATCGACGATTTTCGGCTGAATTAAAGTCTGTTCGTGTTTTATGCAAAAGAAGAGTATTATTTACAAGGGATGAAAGTTAGGACGTGATATATGCTAAAAAAAAAAAAACAAGGGAGTAATTAATTTGAAATTTTTTCTTTTGATTATATACGTTTTCAAGAATTATTGAAAGGACCACATAAGTCCGTGTTCCGCATTTTAGGTGCATCAATTTAAGCCAATCAAATGTCACGGCTTATTGATAATAATTGATACGGAAACATGTAGAAAGTGTTGTCAAACTCTTGACAAAAAATCACGACGAACGATATTTTGTACCACTTTTGAGGTGTGCCAACAGCTGTATGAGGTTGCTGGGTTATATTCCACATCAGATTGCATGTAGGTCGCCATATTGTTTCAAACGTCATATTGATTTACGTATGTTACAGCTATTTTCATTGGACAAATATTAAAGAGCTTCAAGGGACTTAACTCAATTACGGCGATAGGCGGCGCAATTAAAGTTCCCGTTTGGTGGGACTAAATCTGCCAAGGGTTGTAGAGTAGATTTCGGATCGGAAACCCTTGGCTAGCGAAGATGTCGAGTCATGTGCGAGCAGATATTTATATTTGTATTTTGCCGGATGCCTCAGGTAGAATTAATAGTTTAGTCGATCACAAAAAGCTTGTAAGAGGGATGGATTGAAAGAAAATAATATTTTCTACAATGTAGCTGATGCGCATAAAAAATGACATTCGTGTCATGTAATTTGCAGTGTGTAATGGGTCTCCATCACTAAGAAATCTGTTAGAAATTAATTAATTGAATTTCATGTACCATTTCTCAATATTTTACTTGTTCAATTACATGTACTACAAAACATATATTTACCTTAAGATTTATAAGTCCAACAAGTACCCTGAAGAAATATAAAATTTACACTTGCGCTGGCTGAAATAAACTCATCAAAAGTAATATTAAAATAATCATAAATACCACATATGAATTACATGTATTTTAGATGTACATAAACAGACCTGTATGAGAAGACACGAACAAGTGCAAGCATGGTATACAAAACCTTTGAGAATACATTAATACCTCATTGAACACATTATCAAAAATAAGCTGAAAACAATAAGTTTGATTTTACAACCGGTGAAGAAGACAATAAAACTTCTTATTTTAGTCTTCCATCTTACAGACGACAACAGGACAGCTTGAATGATGAAGAATGAAATCACTTGTACTGCCTAGAATGGTTCTTCTTATTAGACCCATCCCTCTACTTCCGGTGACGATACAAGCAGCATTTTCCTTGCTTGCGACGTCCACAATGGCATACTCTGGTTTACTGTTAACTCGTTCTATGCGGACTTCTGCATCAATCTGTTTAAAACAAGAGAAGTTTTGGTACATTTAAACATTATTTAAATGCAATGTAGTGCACACTTTTATTTTTGCTGCAGATTTTTAAAATAGTTTTTTCATTGCATTGTTAATCCATGAAATAAGCAGTTGATGAATAAAAAAAAACAACAAAAACTAAGGTGATTCCTTAGATTAAAAAATTATGACGAGCAAAATCAAAGCTGTGTACTTTTTTTTAGTTCAACCATCAGATCGTATTATTGTTGAGTAGCTCTTGGCTTTGTATAACTTCAACTGAATAGCTTTTACGGACACCATAATCCCTACCATAAAAAAGGCAGTGCAAAACAAAGAGAAGCAAGGTGTGTTTGTGAAACACTGGTGCCCCCGTATGGCAGCTTATGGCGAAGGTTAAAGTGTCTCAAATGCAAGTCAAACTCCAGGTCAAGAGATCAAAAATGTTGGTACAAAAAGAAAGGTCTTGTCTCGAGGAATATACCTATAAAATATGAAAGCCCTAGCACCAACCGTTGAAAAGTTATGGCAAAGGTATTTTTTTTTTCAAAGTAAGTAAAATGGCAAGGTCAAGGTCAATTGCTGCCCAAGAGAAAGTCTTGTCACAAGTGATACACATGATCCTGAAATGTGAAAGCCCTAGAACCAAATATTCAAATGTTATGGCCAAGGTTAAATTTTTTACAAGTGGGTCAAACTCCAAGGTCAAGGTGGATGTCAAAATTGTTGGCATCCAAAGGAAGGTCTTGTCACAAAGAATACACATGTGAAGTATGAAAACCCTAACATCAACTGTTCAAAAGTTATGGCCAAGATTCAAGTTTCTCAAAAGAAGGTCAAACTCCAGGGTCAAGGTCAAAGATGTTGGTATCCAAGGATGGTCTTCTCACAAGGAATACATATATGAAGTATGAACACCCTAGCACTAACTGTTCAAAAGTTATGGCCAAGGTTAAAGTTTTTCAAAATTAAAGTAGGTCAAACTCCAAGGTCAAAAGGTCAAAGTTGTTGGTATCCTATGGAAGGTCTTGTCACAAGGAATACACATGTGAAGTATAAAAGCTTTAGCACAAACTGTTCAGAAGTTATGGCCAGGGTTAAAGTTTTTTCAACGGTAGGTCAAACGTCAAGGTCAAAGGGTCAAAGTTGTTGGTATCCAAAGGAAGGTCTTGTCACAAGGAATACACATGTGAAGATTGAAAGCCCAATCACCAACTGTTCAAACGTTATGGCCAAGGTTAAAGTCTCATAAAATTTTGCAAAAATGGGTCAAATTCCAAGGTCAAAAGGTAAGATACGATGGTCTTGTTACAAGAAATTATACATATGTGAAAAATGAAAGCCATAGCTCCAACCAATCAAAATTTATGGGCAAGGTTAAAGTTTTTGCGGACAGACAGACAGCTAGACAGACGAACGGACGGACAGGGCAAAAATTATGTGCCACCGTATCTTCGATTATGGGGACAAAAAAAAAAACAAGTACAAATTTTAATGTTTACAAGCAAAGAAGAACATTGATGTTTACCATGACAAATAAATTAGGAAACACTTTTTATATAGTTGCTATAGAAAAAATAGGGTGTCAGTTTCATTTATATTAATATAATTACAATTTTCTTTTGTTCGTTTCGGCGTTTTTTTAAAAAAGATATTCGACCACCAGAAAATTATCTCCCTTGCCTTGAACAGCATTCCAACCAATGAAATGATTGAAAATTTTCACATCAAGCATTTTCTACCAATCACAAATAGAGCAAGTGCATAGTCCGACGACTATAAAATACTTCAGCTCTGTAAACTGTCTTCCAATGCATATGAAGACTTTAATAAAAAAAAGACCCCGGTAATTTCCTTTCAATTAATATTTTGAAGTAAATTAAACAGAACATTAACCCCTCTACAATCAGTTTACACCATTAATTGTTTGTCAATTTCTGTAAACGTAATGGAAGGGTGCACAACAGACAACTTTATTAATTTACCCCAAGACCAGCAGCCATTACTGCATATTTTTCCTTCAGTTTTGCCGCCTTTTCGTCAGCCTCTTTTTGGAGTTCCTGTATCCTTCCGGGACCTGACAATTTGAAATTTGAGATTTAAAATAAAATATTAAACAAACCCTTTATTTTTTATTCATGCAGTAATTTCATTCAATAATTTACAAAGAACAAAAGCTAGTCTAATAGATACAATAAATTGTGAGTTTCAAAATCTTTTCTTTTCATTAAGCTACAAAGCTTTAAGGCGTCTCAATATGAGTGGAAAAAGCTCGAGAGGGACGTTAAACAACAAACAAACAAAAATCAAAGCTTTCATTTTATCAACGCACAAACACGCTACATGTACTTGCTTAAACTAATACCGTATTTGCATATGCATCATTATAAAATTACATTTAGAGTCTGTATATCGAACTTTTTTCTATCTAGCATCAGTCAATGTATTTTACGTGTTGTTTTCTGAACTATAGACTACAATGGAATAGAAAATCAATACCTACATAACTAACACATAACCAAACTCCGTGGTAAAGCCAATTGCTTCAGACTGAAGGAAGCGCTTACAATTTCTCTAGACTTAGTGCCACTGGGAATATTTTACAAAGCGTGCAATAAAACATTCATTGTGAAGAAATAATTACTCATTGTCGTTGGAAATGATGCACTTTTCATCATCTCGGGGAGAAAAATGTTTTCCATGGCGTGAAGTAGAATTACTTTGTTCGTAGGTTTGTGAAGGTGTGCCGCATACCCTGAAAGAAAGAAAAAGACATGCAGATGAATTGTTTGTTTTATACATTTTCAATTCTATTTACAATAAAAAATCTGCTCTATCTACTACTTCAAGAAAGTTTACTGATTGATGAAAATATATCGAGTTTAAATTGACTGCAATTTTTTGTTGATCTTAGTAAACAGAAAATACACAACTCTGAAGTAGTCCTTATACATCGTTTTATTGATGAATACATAAAAAACACATTGATTTGTGAACAACCTAAAACATAAGCAACATTAAACTATTAAAGGTATCCCTATGACTGTACACGTATTTATTAGTACTAACTCTTCATTTGCAAATATTACTGTGCATGACCTATTGACTTTTTCCATGTATTACACTTAACTTTTGTGAATTAATTGAACTTATCTTTATAATATATTACCAGCAGTCTTCAATGAGTCAATTTATCATATTCATAGAGGGAAATAACACATATTACAACACGGATAAAAAAAAAAAAAAAAAAAAAAAAAAAAAAAAAAAAAAAAAAAAAAAAACCTGAATGGAAGCTTCGAGACGTATAATTATATTAATAAAAACACAGTAAGCAAAAGAAAAGAAAAAAAGACAGTAACAGACAGTAACAGATTGAACTTACATCGAAATGCATTCTCGGCATATTTACTTTCATCTACAGCAACAACAATGGTAGCCATGCTCGACACAGAGTTAGACGACTAGGCCTGATGGCGTCGCAGAATTTTTTTTTCTCGTTGTAAACAATGTAGAGTTATCGTTCTTTTGTTCAACATCCTTCTCGGTTGTTTCATATTGTCTTAAAAGATTTGTAACTTGTATGTCAACATAATTATTTTGCATGTTGACATAATTTATCTTGCATGTAGGGGGCAGAAATATGCAAAATCCATAGCCGTACTGATGAACCGGGGGGGGGGGGGGGGGAGTCGTGCCCATTCCCTCCGCCGATCCCCCCCCCCCCACCCCAATAATTTTGTTGATATAAGGTATATATCCTGCTGATATATTATATATAAATACGTTTATTCACCATGTCTCGAAAGCTGATTCCCGGTTATCCGTAATCCTATAGATTTTACTTTTGTATTGTTATAATATGTAAATGGGGCAAAGCCGAGGGAAATAGTCCTGTTCGAGGGGAACTGGAATCTTCTTAGCTCCCTCAAAGATATACTTTTTAATTGTTTTATTATACTGATACAAAAATAAAATTTAAAGGATTACGGATTGCCGCGGGAACTGACTTTCAATTAAAGCAGACATTAGTTCACTTGACTAACACATGGAAATTAGTCCATTTACATATTATAACAATACAAAAGTAAAATCTAGAGGATTTAATACGGATAACTGGGAATCACACGTAGCTTTCGAAGCAGGGATAAGCTCACTTGACTAACGTACGGATTAGGCCATTCACATCGATATTTGGGGAATATTTCATATCTAACGAGCTAATTTTATATAAGGAAAACTCAGCAAAGATAAAGTGAATTATTTTATTATACCTCTACTGATTTCTCCTATATAAAATTTGGATCGTCAACTGTTAATCATTTCCTAGAAATCGCTGTGAATGGACTTATCCCCGTGCGTTAGTCAAATGAGTTAACCCCTGGTCCAGAAGCTAATTCTCGGTTATCCGCACCGTAATCCTCAATATTTTACTCTTTTATCGATAAAGTATGTTACACAATAGGCAAGTGTCCATTGTATTTATATATTTTGCATTCATTATCATCCCTGTAAATTTCATTACCACGGATTGAATTGTGCCTGCGTAAACCTGAATTGATGTATCATGTTGTTGAGATGTCTGAATTAGATCCATGGCCTTAGGAAACGGAGGGGGGGGGGGATTTAGCCTATATGTAGTATACTATAGTAGTACTTTAGTAGTACATGTATACTATAGAAAACATAGCTTCTGTACTTTATATGCTTGTGTCGCCTCAATAATAACGTCTGATGACCTTTTTTAAGGAATTTTTGCTTGGTAGGACTCCCTCCCAAAATTGATATGTTAGGTGCCCATCAACTGTAATTGCTTCATATGGACCTGAGATCTATCCGAAATGGAGTTACAACTACTCTTTTAAGACCATCCAAAGATTTTTCTATGTTAAGCGTCCGCAATTTGGGTTTATATGACTTGAATTTTGTAAAATCTTTCTATATTTGCCAAGAATCTATTGGATTTAATCACAGTTCTAAGTATAGACTGGACATTTTCTATATCTTGATTAAAAACCTATCTTTCTGCATAAAAATGCAGTGATATCAAAACCACTGGATGAGGTCTTTTATACGTCTTTAAAGAGTATCGTCACGCATCTCTCCCCCCCCCCCCCTTAAAAAAGAAGATAAGTATTCAATGATAAGTATTCAAAAGATAATCAGACTCTAAACACAAAAATTTCGACTCTTAACATTAAAAATTCGAATGTCTCTCAGAGAGACCCAAGAATTTATAACTATGATTTATGTTTCGACATTTAGCAAAAATTTACATAAAAATAGACATACATGTAATATTTATAAGCTCCAATCTTTACCCCCTCCCCCATCCCCGACATAAGCACAGCAATTGTATATAAGTTTGGATGAAAAATGAACACGTCCCTGAGGCATTAATTGGTACTTTATTTGAATCTTTGTTCGTCTCAATTTTATTCGTAACCTTTCTGTCTGTTTTATTAGTGATATTCCAGCCAAAGTAAACTGAAATAAACACCGATTTGTAAAAGCTTTAAAAACTTCGTATTTTATGCATTTTATTTTTCTTCATCATGTGAATATATGTAGAAATATAAATACAAGATATGTTGTAGGATTGATATTCAAAATAAGATGAAAAAATATGTAATCTAAAATATACATGATAAAAAATAAAAGACATCTTGTGTCAACCGTGTATACTGCTTAATATCCAACATTTCATTACATTTTCACCCTGGTCATTATATTAATATGCATATACATAAATTTAAAAGTAATAATTATATATAAAGTATAGATACAAAACAACTTAATGCAAAAGACACAAATACAGCAAAGGTAAACAGCGGAGGTCCTCACTGCTAATTTCAAAATCCGCTTCAACTCATAAAGAGCAGTGAGTAGTGACGATGCATAATATCTTCATATATTCTTAATATCATATAATCAGTATACATTAAAAATTTACATGAAAAACCACGGCTTAAACGATATTTTTTGTTAAAGTAAGAGCACAAAAATGCAATTTCTAAAGAAAGAAATACAAATCTGCAGCAACGATTTTTTTTCAAAGTCAGGGGTTGGGAAATATTGGGGGGGGGGGGATTCATTAATAAAATAATATTTGAGTGTTCTACCATACCTCAACAAAAAAGGGGAAGTAGCCTTTGAATGAAAAAAAAAATCACACTAAATTTACAGCAGTAGAAGTGGGGGGGGGGGGTGGGGGCTGGTACTACGCGTCTTAAATATATATATCCCTCGTAAATTTATTGTTTGTCAAGTAAAGGCACAGACACTATTTAAACCTGTTACTATTGGATCAATGCAAGAATAATTCTGTAACCATGTTCTGGAGTACGAGTATTACAGAATCTAATACTTCTCTTTGAGATGTACATGAAATTCAAGAAAAGTTGTGTTTTTAGGTAGAAAAAATTCTCAAAAATGTAAATTACATGTTTTTCTGATCCATTTTGTAAACAAAAACTGGACACTTGGCATGATGAAGAATGAAATCGCTTGTACTACCGAGAATGGTTCGTCGTACAACTCCCATTCCTCTACTTCCGGTTACTATAAATGTCGCATTTTCTTTGTTTGCCATCTGCACAATTGCGTGCGCTGGTTTCTCCGCCGTCTCCACTCTAACTTCCGCTTCCACCTGAATCACAGAAAGTCACCATAATGTTCGCTTTTAAGGTTTCATGTCCACCCATTTCAAATACTTAACAGACCTTCAGTTCTAAGCATGAATCTGAAAGTTTTTCACCACACTTAAATTGCGAAGTGCTTTATCTGTTTTAATTATTTTGATAAAATTTTTAATAACTTTTACATCTCTACTTAATTTTGAAATTCCTCTATAAAATATAGAATTATACAATAAAAACATTTACGGGTGTTATGACAAATACTTAGTACATATATTCTTACTCCTAGTTGTTTGGCCATTGTTGAGTACTTTTCCTTTAAGGTCTGGGCTTCTTTCTTGGCTTCGGCTTGTAGTTCAATGATACGCCCAGGGCCTGAAAATAATAATTTTTGCCTTGTTAACTATGGCATGTCAAATGTTGCAATATTCGATCTTTTCCATTTGTATTGTATAATTTTCTATTTGTATTGTATAATTTTCCATTTGTATTGCAAAAGTTTCCATTTGTATTCTATAATTTTTCATTTGTATTCTATAATTTTTCATTTGCATTGTAAAATTTTTATTTGTATTCTATATTTTTCATTTGTATTCAATAATTCTTCATTTGTATTGTATAATTTTTTATTTGTATTGTATAATTTTTTATTTGCATTGCATAATCTTTATTTGAATTGTATAATTTTCAATTTGTATTCTTTAATTTTTCCTTTGTATTGTATAATTTTTATTTGTATTGTATAATTTTCCATTTGTATTGTATAATTTTCCATTTGTATTGTATAATTTCTCATTTGTATTGTAAAATTATAGAATACAAATAGAAATTTATAGAATACAAATGGAAAATTATACAATACAAATGGAAAATTATACAATACAAATGGAAAATTATACAATACAAATAAAAATTATACAATACAAATGAAAAATTATACAACATAAATGAAAAATTATTGAATACAAATGGAAAATTATACAATGCAAATAAAAATTATACAATACAAATGAAAAAATATACAATACAAATGAAATATTATAGAATACAAATAAAAATTTTACAATACAAATGAAAAATTATAGAATACAAATGGAAAATTAAAGAATACAAATAAACATTATACAATACAAATGGAAAATTATAGAATATAAATGGAGAATTATAGAATATAAATGGAAAATTATACAATACAAATGGAAATGATCGAATATTGCAACGTTTGACATGCCATAGTTAACTGCATTTTAAGGTCAGGCGCAACGTAGTCATTCTCTATCCAGAGATGTCGGGAGCGTAGCGGAAGACAACTCTGGATAGAGAATGACAACGTAGCTTCCTAATATTTAAGAGTTCCAATAATGACATCTCGACATGCTTTAAAATTTCTTGAGTTTGATAATTTTTAAAACTGATAACTGACAACTACCAATAGAACCATTTATTACACCCCCACTTCATTTTCCATACAAATATAGAGTTTTGGACGGTATGGTTGTGGTTTTTTTTCCCATCAATCGACATTATCATTCCTTGTCCATGACTAATCAGTCTAGCGGACACATACTCATATCTCTGTAGTCGACGAGGTTCTCTATGACGTGTAACAGGACTACTTTGTTCCCTGGCCTATGGAAATGCTCTGCGTAACCTAAAATGTATTCAAATTTGATACTTTAATATAAAGAATATATACAAATAAAATTTAAAAAAAATTGAACATATTTAACAACTCAGTATTTTTAAAATATGATGTCCCCTATAGAAAATAGTCATTCTTTTTGAAAGGAGCTAATATGATACAGTGTAGCTTAAAAAAGGATTCCCATAGTACATGTAATTGGTATACTAGATGCAAGTATTCACTGTACATTGTAAAAGACATACTTAATAATCAAAACCAAAATAAAATACAGGTTACTCTTTTTGTACGTCAGTTTATGATATTTGTAAATTTTTCACGAAACAAAAAAAAGAACAAAAAAAATTTAATCACTCTGAAAATATTCGTAATACATGCACCTTGGAGAGGACAGAGACGTCTAACTGACTACATGTGCTTAACCAGTACTTGTACATAACAACACATACCGCTTCAATCGCGGTTTAGAAAGCGTTATCTGCCCCTACCCAACAGTAGCCTATAATACAACTTCGGTAGCTTATTAAATCCATTCATTAAATAACAAACACACGTATGGATCCTACTAGTTGACTGTTCCTCAGTCTACTAAATATTCGTTTTGGAATATGGAAATAAATGCGTTAAATGTATTAAACTAAAAAAAAAAAAAAAAAAAAAAAATTAATAAAGTGATAAAATCATAACTGACATGAACCGCACCTGTACGTCTTCCCTAAGTATGTGTTTTTCAAAGTTTAAAAATAATTCCAAAGCACCATTCACAAATACATACTAATTCTGTAAATAAGATAAGGTTCTTCGGAGCAAGATCATGCCTGAACATCTGTTTTCTAGTGCCTGCCTCTCATTTACTGTAGCGTTATTTCAACCTTGTTTCTGAATTTTATGTTTTACTCGAGACGGTTTACAATTACGCAGATGTATATGAATCAACTCAGAGAGTGCAGAATCAATTTTATGTGCACGGCCACCGCATCTTAACGTCCTTATGAATAATGGTTCATTCTAGCAGAAAACTACAACTTAAAAAAATACATTACACGTGCAGTTGCTTTTGATTCATTTAGTATGACTATGATTGAAATACTAATGAGTATGTACGGACGGATTGAATTTTTTCATAGCCAAGCATTTTATTTGCATGGGGCTCTCGACCTATTAACCTTTCGCTATCTTTCTCACGGTCTAGCGAACATTTACCTGTAACCCTAACGCAGGTGACTTTAATCAATCATTTAATGTAAAATAAAAGAATTGTTAAAAATTAAAATGTACTTACATTTGAAGGCATTTTCTGCAAATTTACTATCATCAATCGCTACAAATACCGTGGCCATATTGAGCGTTCTTCTGGGTATAATCGAACTGCTTGGACGATAAAATAGTTTGTGTCTATTCAACTTTACAGGGTCGCAACAGTGTGGGAAAACATTCCATTACTCTTTTATGGCATGCTCTAAAATACGGAGTAGCTTTGGAAAAGAATATCGAAATTAAAAATGTCTTTAAAAAGTAAATTGCTCCTTTAAAAAATGGCGACTTGTAAAACATAAAAACTTAAGCATTCATATACCCAATAAATTTTGATATAAGATTAACTTTAACAAATATTTACATTTATTTTTTTATTAGAAATCTCGCTGTCAACAAAATGCCAAAATCCTCTAAGAACAGAAAAATAACAAGATATTCGAGTTATATGTGTACAAATCAAAGGGATTTTCCAAATCACTTTTCAAAGATGATTAAAAACACAAACAAACGAGCAAATATAATAATAATAATTAGAAAAAGCAAAAAAAAAAAAAAAAAAAAAAAAAAAAAAAAAAAAAAGGTATATAAACTTATGTAAATAAATAAACGTATATTAACTGTTCGAAAACAACAAGCGTTTTGTGATCGACAAAACGCATTTTGCCCGAGAACACAATCAATAAATGTTTTGTTGAATCTTTAATTTTTTTATCTAACATACATGTAATTTGTGCTGGCTTCCATGATGTAGAAATTACCTGCAATGCTATTAAATTTGTTACACCAAAGAATGCAAATGAGATTTAGCTGATCCCGCCCACAGTGTGACGTAAGCGGTACACTATCTTATCGACAGGTCCAATATCTCACTCCACGATTAGACATCTATTTATTTATGACTGCTCAGTAAAACATTAGAAAAGTTAGACTTTTTTAGTATAGATTTATACAGGAAACAATTTTTAAAGGTGTAACAATACGTATTACAGGCCAGTAACAACGTTTTCAAAAGTGAGGGAACCAACCTCAAAAAAAAAAAAAAAAAAAAAAAAAAAAAAAAAAAAAAAAAAAAAAAAAAAACTGACCAAAAAATAGCTCCAGAAATGTAGCTCTCCGAAAAAAAATATATTGACAGACAGATCGTAGAGCTGCAGTGCCACCTATAGACTGAAAAAACTGTATATATCTATTGCGCACAAAACTTGCGCTCGACTCTCGATTTATTTCTCAAAATTCTTACCTCAACTGCACAAAAGCTCGATTTCCAAAAATTCAATAGACCTCTGTCAACTACTCTCGTAGTTGACATCTTTACGAAAGTTCGTTTGACCGAATTTTCTAGACGCCTAAAATGGGAGGATGAACAGGCGAAATTTTGGATGGTCTCAATTTCAGGCCCAGGAGGGAAATGTTTTGATGTGAAATAGTGAAAGAATGTGTTAAGAACATAAGGTCAGTAATATTTTGAGATTGTAGTTTAAAAATACGGAGAAATAAATCGACAAACACTGCACTTTTTTGTGCGCAATAAATATACACCTTTTTCAATGGGTGGCACTGTAGCTCTCGGGTCGTCCATCCTAATTTTTTTTTCAGACAAGCGAGATACAGACCTGCTGCTACCCCCCCCCCCCTAAAAAAGACCAAAAAGGGGTGGGTGGGTGGAAGCAACTTCTCAAAATAATCTGACAAGCAAAAAAAGACCTAATTACCTACATGTATCCTCCATATCTTGGAATTTGCCAGTGCTCGACCTTACAGCAACAAAAAGTGTGGGGGGAAGAGGCAAACAGCATCTAAAGGAAAATTTACTGTAGCAAAATACTAAACTATTAAAAAGTGGTCCCCCCCCCCCTGCGTTCTACAGGATAATATTATACTTTCATATATGTTTCTTGAATTTGATCCGTCGAGAAACATTTCTTAAAAACATATTTTAACCCTTTGAATGATGAACCACACCCTCCATCTCGATAGAACTTAGCAACAGTCAACATTGCTTGAAGACGGGTGTAATCCCAAAACAAGAGGCCCAAGGGCCTTAATGGTCACCTGAGTACAATACAACAAATTAGAGGATCCGTTTTTGTTGCCCAAAAGTAAATAAAATAGTATGATTAGCATCAACAAAATAATTGGTCTAGTATCCATCTGTCCCCCATTTATCACTATTACTATGCAGACTATTAACAAAATGTCTATTTTTTAACCCCATATTTTAACTTCTCACATTGGCCTCTTTTGGCCTTTGAAAAACATTTAAAAAGATATTAAGTTTTTTTTTTGTCTCATTTTTATTCATCTATTATTTCCAAGTCTACCTGATCATTAAAACAATGAAAGTACTTTTTTGTATTATACAATAAATATTCTTGCATAATTCTCTTATTCTATTAACCTTTCAAATATATAACTTAAAGTAACTAATTATCAAAGGTGAATGGCAAAGGGGAATAACTTTGCTCAGCAGAATACAAGTTAATAGAGCCCAGACCAAGACCAGAACACTTGACTAAATGGTCCAGATGTTCAAAATTCTGGTAAAAATGCCCGTGCATGTTAAAACTTTTACTCTGTTTGCCTCGAATATGCCCAGAGGCATAGAAAAGGATTTTCAAAGAAATGCATTTCACTATAATATTATTAAATAAATAAAGCCTCATCATTACGCTAGAACATCTGACCCATTGGCCATGAACTCACAATTCTGGAAGAATCACCCTTGCTAATCATAACTAAACACTTGTTTCTTTGCTTTATAACCAGAGAAGAAAAAAATATTTTGAAAGAAATTATGCATTTTCCCCTGTATAATCAATAGAGCCCCGCCCTAACACCAGAACCCCTGACCCAGGGGCCATGAAATTCATGATTTCTGAGGAGGAAGCCATGCTCATCATAACTATATACTTAGTTTATTTAATATCAAGGAGCAGAGAAGAAGATTTTCAAAGAATTAATGCATTTTCACTATATATATATTAATAGAGCCCCGCCCTAACACCTGAACCCCTGATCCAGGAGCCATGAAATTCACAATTTTGGAAGAGGCAACCTGATGTTCGTCATAACTATGCTATGCACCAAGTTAGTTTATTTAATACCCAGGAGCAGAGAAGAAGATTTTCAATGAATTAATGCAATTTTACTGTATAATAAATAGGGCCCCGCCCTAACACCCGAACCCCTGACCCAGGGGCCATAAAATTCACAATTTCTGAAAAGGCAGCCATGCTCACTATAACTATGTTCTTAGTTAGTTTATTTAATACCAAGGAGCAGAGAAGATTTTCAATGAATTAATGTATTTTCACTATATAATCAATAGAACCCTGTCCTAACGCCAGAACCCCTGACCCTGGGGCCATGAAATTCACAATTTTGGAAGAGGCACTCTTGCTCATCATAACTATGTACTTACTTAGTTTTTTTAATACCCAGGAGCAGAGAAGAAGGTTTTCAAAGAAATAATGCACTTTCACTAAGTGATCTATATAGCCCCTATCTAGCACCAGAACCCCTGACCCTGGGGCCATGAATTTCACAATTTTGGTAGACGGCTCAATGCTTATTACAATCATGCCAACAGTTTGACTGCTTGATGTCTAGGAGTAAAGAATTTTAAAGATTGCATTAATTTTGGTTGTTTAAGCCCCACCCCTCAGGCCCGGGGGGGGGGGGGGGGCGAGACGATGAAATTCACAATTTTTGGTCCCTTTCACCCATAGGTGCTATATGTTAAACTTGGTTGAAATTGGTTAAGCGGTTTCAGAGAAGAAGCTAAAAATGTTCAAATGTTAACGCACGACGACGGACGAAAACGGATAGCAATAGGTCACCTGAGTGACTCAGGTGACATAAAAATGGGATTGCGCGGAATCTACGTGTATGCTGGACCGCTTTACCTTTTTGTATTTGTATAAAAACTTAGTATAATATAATAAATACTGCATGCAGTTGAGGGTAATATTAAAAATTTTCACCCTTCAAAAGCCATTGTCAACCTCAGCATTTAACATCCCTTGAAGAATATTTCACTCATGCTGGCCGGGACACCACCAATGACCGGTGATAGGCTGCGAATTTAGACACCAAATCGGCACTTGTTACCACTGAGGATACCATTTACATCATTCGAATTACTTATTTTAGAGGTTAAAAGCTCTTAAATGAAGGTATTCAAACCACCTTCTGCGTTGATTTACAAGTACCTCTGTTTGTAAAGTCCGACAGAGATAATCGGAATTTGTCGTGCGTTTCGTATAATTTAAAGATTTTTTTTCTTTCATTTTTTTTTTCAAGTCAGGCAAAAATAACTCCCAAGCTAAGGTGGTAACTGACATCAATCATGCCTTTATGTTAATTTCGAAAGAAATACTAAGAATAGAGAGCACAGGGACAAATAAAACAGCTGAAGTAAATGCAGAGGCAGACATGAACAATTATCATACCATACAGACTTTACTTCAAAATCAAGCAAGATACTTCACTGTCGTTTTAAACCTCGCACCTATTATCAATTGCAAGCGCAGTACATGGTTGACTGGTCTCCTTTCTGTCCGTACCTATTCTATTCATGCTCCCTTACCCGTAACAGGACACAAGTTTGCTTTGAATTTTTTATTGGCTAGTGGATTAAAATTTTAAATGTAAAGTGAATTTCTTCAGTGCACATTTTCAATGTGTTTCAATTTGGGTCATTATTTACATTTTTAAACTTCATTGCTTTTTACTTGTTACACATTGCAGATAATCTCCTAGTAGTAATCTATATAACGAGTCATAAATTTGCTTTCAAATCGATATTGAGATAGCATCCTCCTAACATTTCAAGTGAAAGAGTGGCTCCAATTTGGATGCAATATGTTTTGTTTATATAAACTTTTCAGGCCAACATTTGATAACCGGCACTGGAACACATAGAGTAGGTAACGATTCTCGGCTAGGCCCAACTCCAGTCATCAGGTCTTCGTAATATCGATGTCCTCTGCAGGTCATCCGAGACAAGAAAGATAATGTGTAGTGAGAAAAGAATCCGGTCTATGGCCTTCTATGTGTTTAATAACCCGGCTATGAAGGGTCCTTGGCAATACGAGAGAGCGATGTTTCAGGTAGACTTATTTAAAAAACATTTCTTTATTTAAAGCACAAAGTTCGTTCAAGTGTCATGTTTGTGTTTGTTACTAGTGAATGTTCGTTGTAATTTTAAAGAACATTTACATTTCTTTGGAGAGAGAAAAAAACACACAGAAGAAATGGTAATTTTATACACATTTATTGAGAGAGTAAAATAATACAATCTTGAACTAAAATAAAATCATTGGGATTGAGTAGCAACATTTGATGGAAAATATTTTCCAAAAATAAACTACCTCACTTAAAAATACAGAAAATATTGTTTGCGGCCTTTCCCCGTCATTTAAATGCAATTTATGTATCCACAAATATTTTAAATATCAATACAAGTCCAGGTTTACATACAATTCACGATGCATGGCCAATCTAAAAAAAGCAGATGAAAACACTATTTTTCCTGAGTGAAAATGAGAATTTTATAGAATTTATTCCATAGCATAAAACCTGACAAATAAAATAATAAAAAAACTCTGTAACCATTGGAATACCAAAGCTGAGAAATTTTTCTATTTCTGTATCATTAACAAGAAATCACTGATTAAGTATATTTACACATTACAAAGAAGCAATTCATTGATCCTGGATACAATGTTTACATGTATATATTTATAATATATAATCTTTGGTAAAATATAAGGATTTGACCATTCTTGAGTTAATTATGCAAAGAAAATGTTTCAAAACAATGTCTAAACAATCATTTGTTTTTAACAAATTCATATATATAAATACATATATAATTCACAACACAATTATCTAAGTCACCAGCTTGCCCGTATAGTCCTCCAAGTTCCTAGAAGATCTGAATTTTGGAACAAATTTAAAGGAAACAAGCATATAATTTGAAATCTTTTGTGTTTCGTAAATTACTGAATACATAAATATAAAACAAAGGTAAGTGTTATCTTTTTCATGCATTTTAATGCAATAATAGAAACTGTGTACGTACAGGAATGTTTATCCTATTTTAAAAGATAACACATAACTTTTCAAGCATTCGGAACGCTAAAACTTACTGGACAAACAAGATAACTGATTTCCGATTTATTCTCCTATATTCCAATCTGAGAGAATATACACATGTATAAGCTTACAATGCAGATGATTACAAAGGATTCTAATTTACTGGTTCTTGCAGATTAGGACTGGGCAGTGGGCGTGATGAAGGATGAAGTCACTGGTGCTGCCCAGTATCGTCCGTCTGATTAAGCCCATTCCACGACTTCCGGAAACAATGTATGTAACCTTCTCTTTTTCAGCAGTGTCCACAATGGCATGTTCCGGTTTGTCTGATGTTTTAATATGGATATCCGCTTCAAACTACAAAGATTTCTTAATCAAGCAAAGTATGTGACAAATATGATCTGAAAATACTAGGCTATGCTAGAAATTTCAAATCTCCTGACCTATCAAGGATGCCCTCTTTATCATCAGTGGTTTTGTTTTCAAATATGAAGATAAAGAACAGTAATCAAGCTCAAAAGTCCAGAGAAAAAAATAATAATCAGGAGCAGAACAAACATGGATCTCTAAAAACATCAGAGGTGGGATCAGGTGCCATGGAGGAGTAAGCATCCCTTGTCGACCGGTGACACCCGCCATGTGCTCATTGTCATGATTAGGCAAGCGGAAAAAATCCGTAGACAATTCAGTGTGTAAATAATGGCCTAACAATAAGTATGGAAAACGTCAGTCAACATTCGGCATAATGACAGATTGTATTTGCTGACAAGGTAATAATTTGTATCGACCATACAACTTGCAAAATGATGACTTTAAACGAGATTGTTGATCTTCTTTTTCCATCAACTTGTTTGTTGATAGCTTGTCTCGTTTTAGAATTTTTTCTTACGTAGGGCATGCTCTTGCATATCGAATCAACTGAGAGACATAAACCCCATATGCAGGTGTTAAGGGTATATTGCTACTTAAATAAGGGAAGTTGACGATAGAAAAGTTGAAGTCATCACGTTTCATTGTTCGGTTACCATTAACCTCTTTTCCTGAAAAACATCCAAATATGAAATTGATCTATCAGACTCTGTTGTATCTTTCATTTCATGTTCACTGGGATATATTGAGTCGACATATAAATGAAAGTAACTGTTGTTAATTGATAGTACGTCGTCGATATATCTAAACGTCGAGTTGAAGGTCTCAGCAAGTGTTTTCTTCTTCTCATGTACAAGTTTTTGAATAAATTCTGCTTTAATATATGAATTCGAAAGTAGGTCTGCTAATAACGGGGCGCAATTTGTACCCATGAAAACTCCGACAGATTGTTGGAAGACCTAATCTCCAAAAACTACATAGATATTGTCAATCAGAAATTCAAGCATCTTTTTTATATCAACTTCATAGTACTTGTGTGTACAATCTGAATGATTTTTAACAAAATAATTTTGTGAATGACAAGGTAAGTAAATTTACGAGTTCCATTTATATTAAAAAAAAAATCAGCTGTCTATGATGTCAAAAAGCCTGGATTTTAATTTATCGTGGGTGATGGATGTATAAAGTGTTGAAAAGTCGTACAGTATTGATTTTGGTAAAAATTTGTGATTTCAAATTTCTTAAAAGTTAGCTATTTTTTTTAAGCATCCACATCTGATTTACACCACTTCTCGAATGTATTGTTATAAAGTTAGAGTACTCCTGAAGTTTCTCCTTCACTACTGTTAATATTTTAGTGAGAAGTAAAGAAAGAGGCTTTGTAGAACATTTACTGGAACCCGCTATGTATCTTTGTAAGGGTTTTTATATGATTAGGAATCTAATAAAGGTATGGTAATTCAAATTCATTTTTATTTTTGAGGATGATCTATAACAAAAACCTGTATATGATAAATGAACACCATAAGGTAATGATAGCTTTTTAATGACTGGCTTGAATACCAGCATAACATGATATTTATAAATGTTTAAATCTGATCAATCTTGAAAACTAACTGCATGTTTTTATTCATTGTAGGAGGAAAAATATATTTTTAATCTGATTTAATTCAACTAAGCACTGGGCCCAGAACAAGCTTGTGTAACTATGTGTACAAGGGATTTCAAATAGATCATTAAAATTTTATTCAGTTGAACTTGATATTATCAGATCATGTACGTAACATCAAAAGTTAGGTTTAAGCATCTTTGATTCCAATTACCATTTCTTAATTAACCAGATAAAAACTGCATAGCAATATGACATCATCTTGTTAAAACTGCTCTAAGTACTAGTTTTACAGTTTAAGAGTACAAGTTCTCTTTTTATCTTAAGGAAAATTGCATAATGAAATTTTATTTGAAATTATTGGAATTACATTATAAAAAGAATTTACAGGAATATACATGAAAGAAGTGAAACGTTTTTGAACAAAATTTAATTGGCTACTTGATGTAGAAAAAAATTACTGCTTTCATTGGGGTTGGAGAAGGTTGGTACTGTCGAAATATTACAAAAATCTGTTTTTAAATATTTTTAAATAAACAAAGACTGATTGTTTTTAACAAGAATGTGATGTCTTTTTTATCATCAGTGTTTTTGGTAGATAATTAACAAATAAGTTGTGTTTGCAATCTTAATTAAATCTTATTAATGAAACCATTAATTTCAGCCAAGTATATTCAACTGCTAAGTGCACATTTATTAATGATTGAGAAGTGAAGTTTTCTCACACTCCTAGAGAGAATCAATTAATTTTTGTAATTTGGAGGTTGATGAGCATTTTATTTTGAAATACTCACTTTTTCTTGAGTTCTGTCTATTAAAAAGTGCTATTGTTATCTAGGCAGAATATAACTAAAAATGTCAATGAACTTAGAACATGTATAATGTAGGGAAATTTCTACAGAAAACAGAACCGCATTCTTTGTTTCTTACCTCAAGAATTTTCTTGTTTAAAATTTTGTAAACAATATTATGTTAAACCAAGTGCATATATATATATATATATATATATATATATATATATATATATATATATATATATATATATATATATATATACACATTGTATATATACATTGTATATATGTATATATATATATATATATATATATATATATATATATAATGCATTACTTTTATGTTATTATATTCCTTACTCTGTACATGTAAAATGATAATGCGATCTGATAGACCATATGGCTTGAGGAATAAATTAATACCAACAGTTTCGCTTCAGACTTATTTAGCTAACAAAATGTTTGCATTGATAACACAGAATGACATTGCTTCGTCCTTATAAAAAAATTATCTTTGTACACCAGGAATGTGCATTACCCAGATTAACTAAAGTAGGTCACCGGTGTAGTAAGGTAAAAGTTAGGACTGTAAGATAACCGTAAAACAATACAAGGCAACATCATTTTTAAAATACGTTTATGTATGGTCATAAACAATGTTTTACCTAAAATTCCATCTTTTTTTGGATATGCATGTCACTCAATGATGTAATTTAATACATGTGAAATTCTTTTGTTTTATTACAGGTATATAAATTATACTATATAATACGGGTTTGTTTTATTTTTTGGCAATACTTTACCCCAAGTTCCCGAGACATGGCGGCGTATTTCTCCTTCAGGGCCTCGGCTTTTTGTTTGGCCTCCCTCTGTAACTCCATGTACCGGGCTGGACCTGTAGAGAATGTCCTACTCTGTACATGCTTGTACATAACCTTCATGAATTTATACAGATATGGCTATCGTCAACAAGAAAATAAAATGTGGATAATCGAATTATAAATTTTCGAGGCTATTATTGAAAACGATATGTATTTGAAAATTCACCTGATTAGGAGTTTTTAAGCTCATTCTCTCGTGTTTCAAAACAAAAAAATTGCATGAACATAAAAATAAATTGAGATGAAATCGTTTTCTATGACTGTGTATACCACAGATGCAATGACAGGGGTATGCAACTATTGATTATCGAAAAGAGTTTTCTCAGTCTCTCTCAGAATATTAAAACTATATTCTTGAATATATTTCTCACATTGACGATGTAGAATAGCGGTTGTTAATTACAGTGGATCTTATATTTTTTACAATGCATGTCATAATGATGTAGTTTCATGCATCATTAGCATGTTTAAAAAAAGATTCCCTTCAGCATCAGTCACCTGAGTACATGTATTATGCAATATTTTTACATATAAGCCTCGAGCTCTTCCATGTTACATACAAGCTTATCATATATTTCTGGTACATTTTATGACCTACAAAATGAAAAATGCTTCGTCCAGTGACCTTGTCAAAATGAACTTAATTAAGTGCACGGCCACATACTACAATACACCTTAGACCCAGGTGACTATATTCAGTTTTTAATAGAGTTCATGGCAACACCACGGTATATGCTGGTTCTCTAGCTAGGAGTGATGATAAATATTCTCGATTTTGTTTTTTATTCAATAAAAGATACATAGTAAATAGTTATTAGAGATCATTCTACAGTTTCGTCGGAGCTGGAAAGCTCGAAAGCTAAAAAGTGATCACAAGTGAATGTTAGTGTATGACAGTATTTATTACATTTTCCTCAGTGAAATACCGTGATTTATTTATTGAATAAAAGTTATATTCTCTCACAGTGTGAAAGGATACCAAAAATGATATTCTCTCACAGTGTGAAAGGATATCAAAGTAAGTAAAAAATAATTTTTGGCCTATCATAAGACAGAGATAGTATCTTGATAGAGCTAAAACTGCAAATTTCTTCCCAAATATGTTGCTAAAATCCATGCTATGTAATGTTTTCAATCACACAACTCTAAGCTATGACGTCTCAACCGCTCAGCTATGACATCAAGCCTATGGCACTGTGTTAAGAAAAGACAGAGGCAAAGAGAAAATCAAAGAAAATGTAATAAACAGAAAATTCAATGTTTTGTAGATGAATATGGAATTTTTTTCACTTGTGAGACACTCGTGAAAATATCAAAAAATCCTGTCCCACTCGTGAAATAAATTCCATATTCATCTACAAAACATTGAATATCCTCTATGTATCACACGTGTTACCCAATACGTTAGAAAAATCTCGATCCCTGTGAAACGGTTGTAATTTCGGGGACAAAGGGGCCCAGAAATTTATAAAATATATGAGTGTCCTGACTGTAATGGAGAGAGAAATGCATCGATTTGTAAACTTTTGCAAATATTGTATACTTTAAAACTTCATGTTTAACCGTGACGATTTAAATGTGTAATTTACATGCAGGGAGAGGGCGTAATAAGTTTTCAGAACTTGTGCCCAATCCCATTGTATTTATAAATTACAATAAAATATGTTCAAACCAATGGAGAAGTGTACATTACTTACTCATGTCCGTGATACCGAGGTTCTCTATGACGTGCAACAAAATCACCTTGTTTTCAGGTTTGTGAAAGTTTGCAGCATACCCTGAAAAGAGAATTCTTTTATTTTTATACGATTCAGTTTGTTTCACCTCCAATGTGAAATCTTCTTGTTCGAGAGCATTTCGACTCATGATGTTCTTAAGTACGAAAACCAACTAAAAGTTTTACAACTAAGATAGATTAACAGGTGTAAGAAAAAAATATACAGTTTCAATGGTTTTCTTTCGATATTTCTTCTCTGTTAATTGGTAAAGAATATCAGAATCAAAGTCATGCATTCTCTACATATGTGGGAGCACAATCAGGGAATGCTTCTAATTATCAGCAAATGCACATCTGCAAATATGCTTTGTACTGATAATCTTTGTGACTAGCATGAAAGTGACCTATAACGCTAAGCTTAACCTTGCGTCTATGGATATACAAACTGTGGACTGACGAAGGGACAGACACCCTAAGCCGGGTATGTGTAAAACACGAAACGAGAAACAAGAAATGAGAAACGAGAAACAATAGCATAAGAAAAACAAGATGTGTTTGTGAAACACTATGCCCCCGTATGGTAGCTTATGTCGAAGGTTAAAGTTTCTCAAATGCAAGTCAAAATCCAGGCCAAAAGATAAAAAATGTTGATACCCAAAGAAAGATCTTGTCTCGAGGAAAACACCTCTGAAATTTGAAAGACCTAGATACAACTGTTGAAAAATTATGGTGAAGGTTAAAGTTTTTTAAATAAAAGTCAAACGTCAAGGTCAAGGTCAAAGTGGTTGGTATCCAAAGGAAGATCTCGTCACAAGGATTACATATGTGAAGTATGAAAGCCCTAGCACCAACCATTCAAAAGTTATGGCCAAGGTTAAAGTTTTTCAAAAGTAGGTCAAACTCCTAGGTCAAGGTCAAAGGGTCAAAGTGGTTGGTATCCAAAGGAAGGTCTTGTCACAAGGATTACATATGTGAAGTATGAAAGTCCTAGCATCAACCATTCAAAAGTTATGGCTAAGGTTAAAGTTTTTCAAAAGTAGGTCAAACTCCTAGGTCAAGGTCAAAAGGTCAAAGTCGTTGGTATTCAAAGGAAGGTCTTGTCACAAGGATTACATATGTGAAGTATGAAAGTCCTAGCTCCAACCATTCAAAAGTTATGGCCAAGGTTAAAGTTTATCAAAAGTAGGTCAAACTCCTAGGTCAATGTCAAAAGGGTCAAAGTGGTTGATATCCAGAGGAAGGTCTTGTCACAAGGAATACACATGTGAAGTTTGAAAGCCTAATCACCAACTGTTCAAACGTTATGGCCAAGGTTAAAGTTTTTCAAAAGTAGGTCAAAGTCCAAGGTCAAAAGGTCAAAGTGGTTGGTATCCAAAAGAAGGCCTTGTCACAAAGAATACACATGTGAAGTTTGAAACCCCAAGCACCAACTGTTCAGAAGTTATGGCCAAGGTTAAAGTCTCATAAAATTTTGCAAAAGTGGGTCAAACTCCAAGGTCAAGGTCAAAAGGTCAAATATGATGGTACCCAAAGAAAGGTCTTGTCACAAGGAATACACATGTGACAATGAAAGTCATAGCTCCAACCAATCAAAAGTTATGGGCAAGGTTAAAGTTGACAACATACAGACAGACAAACAGACAAACAAACAGACAAACAGACAAACAGACAGACAGGACAAAAACAATATACCCCCGGGATCTTTCGATCCGGGGGCATAAAAATGACCTAAAAATGTCAACCAAGGGGCAGCTTTTGCCTTGATTTCATTTTGTTAGAAAACAAGTGCTGAGTGAAATTAAAACATACAACTCAGGACAGATTTATCAGTGATCCGGCACTGCTAACCCATAAAGACATGACAGATTTAATTAAATATCAACAGCTGAAAAGTACACAATTGGTAAGAGACAGATTCCTTCAAATTATTTTCTGCATTTTACAAAATCAACAAAATGTTGAACATAATGCTAAACAAAATGTTAAATAATATATTTATAACTAATTATTTATAAATAATATATTTATATTTTTGTTATATATGTAGTAAAGAAAACTATTATATAAACATTGACAATAAATTTCACCAATAATACATGTATTACCAGAACTACTAAATCATTGTGGTAGTAAAAAGCTAATGATCAGTAACAGTTGATTCTTTTTGACAGAGGTATAGTTAGAGTTCTGATGTAGAAATTTGGACCATTATATATAGTATCCTAACGGAAATACATCAAATTAGTTTATCAATGAAATTGTATCATTTGATGATAACATTATCATTCTAAGCAAAAACAGAGTAAGCATTTCTTTCCGGTAATAGTATTGTATTAATTAAATCTGTCAACATTTTATTATTTTTATAACACAATTACTCAATGTGTTGGGATTAAGAAGACTTTTGTAAGTTTATAGTTTTATTATAAAATCACAGCAAAGGCAAAACAATGGTACATAAGAAAAGTTCAATGGCTGTCGGTCTCGGAGCTAAGGTGGTGAAAGCTCACATATTCAGTCTTAGAGCTAATATGTAAGAAAACTTCTTTTCAGTTTTCCATACCAAACATGCGCAGTTTGAGGTTTGAATACAGATTTTCTAGTTGCTCTTACAATTGCAGAGATATGAATATCTTCTTGAAATGGAATGTATGTTTTCCCTATTCTAAAAGACCCTAAATCATAGTATAAGCGCACACCATTCTTGATCAACCAATCGCGCCCCAATATGACATTTCTATTCATTTCTTCAATGACAAAAAATGGATGATTCAAAGTCATGCCACCAACTTGAAAACTGACATTTGCTTTTCCTTTGATTTTCAATGCATCACCATTTACAGATTGTAAATTGACTCTTTCTTTTGATAAATGTGGAATGTTATGAAAGGACCTAAAAACTTTTGAATGAATCAATGAGACTTCTGCACCAGAATCTATAAGTGCGCGAAATTTCTGACCGTTAATCTTAATAATACAAGAATTAGGGTTTCCTGCAATATTAATTTTGAAATTTGGAATGTTTTTATTCTTTGATTCATGCAAATGTTTACTCCTTACAATGGCCCTATTTTGAAAGGAGTTTACTCGTTTAACTGATTTTTAGTTTGCTTTTTACAATTTCGTTTAATGTGTCCTTTCTTTCCACAATTCCAACATTCAACACTCTGATAGTTTGTGGCTCGATTTACAGAATAAATACTTTTTCTCTTCGGTATTGTTTTTGAAGGGCGTTTAGATCTATAATGGTCAACCTCCATGGGTATATGGGTTTGCCTACCCGACCTGAGTTCGAATCGCTTATACAGGTTTTGTTCAGCCATTGCGCAGTTTATAGCTGCTTGCAGAGTTGCAGGGTTTTCACGCATAACCTTGAATTTCAATTTGTCTTGTAATAAGCCATCAACAAATATTCCAATCAATTAACGTTGAACTGAAGGTCCTCCTTCGAGACCTTTATATGCTTCTTCAGCCAATGACAATAATCTTTCAGCGTAAATCTGAACATTTTCTTCGGGTTTTTGATTAACTTTTCTTAATAACATGAATGCATGTTGAGGATCTGTTACTTCAGCAAATCTTGTGGATAACTCATTTTTCAAATCATTCCAGGTCCCCCCCTGGGTTATTCGTGAGACTTCGTTGAATAAAGTCTGAAACTGCCCCACGACTAGAACCATAAGCCACAATTTTGACTTTTTCATCTGATAGTTTGTTCATGAAAGAATACTTTTCAATTGATTTTATCCAATCTTTGAATTTGCCAGGATCCCCCTCATATGGTGTTATTTCATTTGAAATCCCATTAGTACCAATTGCATTTGATAAACCTTTAACTCTAGAATCAAGACCATCAAATTTAGTTTCTAATACAGTCGACAAGGTCATAAAGGCACCTCCCAAATCAAAACCATTCCCAATGTCTTGGTTGTCCATACTTAAAAAATCTAGGTATAATAAAACAGTTACTTACAGTAGTCTTGAATGTCTTTCTCTTTCCAGCGTTGGGAGACTTCCCGTTCTGTGTCCTGTTCCACGGCAACAATTAATCCATTATATAACACAATTACTCAATGTGTTGGGATTAAGAAGACTTTTGTAAGTTTATAGTTTTATTATAAAATCACAGCAAAGGCAAAACAATGGTACATAAGAAAAGTTCAATGGCTGTCGGTCTCGGAGCTAAGGTGGTGAAAGCTCACATATTCAGTCTTAGAGCTAATATGTTAAAAAGCTATTGATACTCAGCGCGCACATCTTTTGTACAAGAAGCCGTATCATAGGGATCACATATTTGGTAACAACAATTAGTTAAGAGTGTCACTTCATTAATATTGATATAGTCCGCCCCTCACTGCATATCCTTATAGGATACGGCAATGTCCTCTGTTTACATTAACATTGTGTATCTTGCACATTTTTCAGTTAATTAGATGGTTGCAGCTTTGCACAAAGTCTGATTGGAAGTGTCAATGTTAGAGAACAACACATCGTAAAAACTAATTGTCCATCAAATGAAGACGCTCACTTATTGTATCCAATCTCCCAGAGTTTGTAAACAAGTTCATAATTAGGAGGTTACTGTCCGTCGCTCTACACACTGATAGTATCAATTATAATTCAAAACACAATATTAAAAATATTAATAAACTCAATGTACAAACTTAATATATTAATTAAAGTTATAATTTGTACGCTCATTGTGTTACATTTTTTTTGTGTGTGTTTGAGATAGTTGTGCGGGTCGATGATAAACCTGACCTAAGTTAGATATTTCATTTCACTCTGCATCTGTTATCTAACAAAACGAAATCAAAAGCACAAGCTGCCCCCCTTTGTTGACATTTTAAGGTCATTAGGTGTTCTATGCTGAATCTGACATTCCATTGTTTCTCGTTTCTTGTTTCTCGTTTCGTGTTTTACACATACCCCCCTGAATCCCGTATTATCCCTAAAACCTTATCAGCGAGAATACAATATATATATATATATATATATATATATATATATATATATATATATATATATATATATATATATATATATATATATATATAAACCTTCAGACGCTTTTATCACTAAACTGAATGGAGGTAAACGAACTATTATCTTTATAACAACAACATTTGGACAACAAAAACACGTAACGGGTCTGTGCATACTATGACCTAGAATAGACACTTACTACAGAGCGTAAATACATTTATGCTCCTTAATTTACATAAAATACTCATACAAAAGGACCGAATTCTACTGAAGGATAGAATTGCAATCAAATTCAGGTAGATGACATACATGCAAATTAAAATACCTTAAACAGACGGTATCTATAAGAGATGACAATGTAATACACATTTGTGATTTATTTATTTATTTATTTTTTATTTATTTAGACGTACTTTTCTCTTTTTTATATTCTCTAAGCTAGAACAGCTAAAAAGTCCCATGGTTGCGCGCCATAGATGCTTAAAACTGTTTACTAACAATATCGAAATCGTTCGAAGGCTTATTTGCATATATTACGGGAAAATTACTAAAATAAACTTACATTTGAAGGCATTTTCTGCAAACTGGCTCTCATCTATGGCAATCAGAACAGTGGCCATTTTCTTTGGTTATCCTCTACAGCTGACAGCGGTCGATTAGTGTAATCGAGAAAATTCGGCGTGGCACTGCTAGTGGGCGGGTAACTCTAGTTTACATGTTTATTAACATTTCAAGGCACATTATAAAACACAAACCGGCTGCATTTTTTTTTTTAAATCAAACTGAAACTAAAGGTAAATTTACGATCATGAAACAGTCTAGTGAATAGTCTACTAGCTATAAGCTGCAATCTTTTATCATGTAGATCTATATCATTATACACACCTATATAGAGATAGGCATAATATGCCTATCTACATGTATAGGTGTGTAAAAGTGCCCATTATCTTTAGGAGTTGCTGCGCCTGTGATGTTTTTCTGCGAGGAAATTTTAAAATTTGTTTGTAGGTAATATTTTTGTTGGCATCCTTAACACGTAATCAGCGTAATCAGCCGTGGGTTGTCCGACGATGCAAGTATTTTTGTCTCTCCATACTTTCCACCTCGGATTTTTTGCTGTTAGATATCCACCCTATCCTGTTACAGAAAAACTTATTTAGGACTAAGACCAAAATTTAATTCTGCTCATTACTCTCCATTTTACATTAATTTGAAAATGGTTTTAATCATTTTAAAAAGACAATCATCTAAAGTTTTTGGTCTTAGTCGTAAGTTCTTTTGGTTTTTCAGCATCTTTATCAACATACCGTTTGTGCATATTATATATTTTCTAATCATTTTCGATGGAATGTTTGATTCGTTCATTTTCTCTTGGAAGGCATCCAGAAAAAAAAAGAAACCTGTCAATGCTACATGTATATATGAATTGCATTCCATTCACTGACACTTCGAATCCTTTGTGCTTATAATATTAGCAATGATTGGATAATGACAAACATTGGCTTGTTGCAGGTTAAAAATAGACACTGCATAGCCATCATAATCTACCGTACTATCCTACTTTGTCTAATGTTTATGTCATTATGAAAATGATCACACATTTTTTGTACAAATTAATTGATTTCATGTTTCAAACCTATGAAATGTATCAGTGGTTCTTGATAATAAACAATAAAACTTAAACATATTTAAACTTAAACTTAAAACTTTAAAAATCTAAACTTAAACATTTATAAAGTCATATATGGCGTATTTTTGATAAGTTCAGACTAACTAAAATCTATAAAAAGATCTTTCTATTTGCAATTGATTTATTACTTTATATAAAGATAGGATTTTCCTGTAAATTACACAATTTAAATTAATCGGGTTTCACATATATTAGAAATTTAAAACAATAACCGATTTATTTACCGACTCCGCATTTAAATATCAGACACAGTTTAAAGTCAATTTAACTATATAGAAACGTGGGTTTATTCAAATTCAAAATCGGTGAACATTTTAATTTGAACGTAAACAACCAATATCATGTTTATCTACACTCAATCTTATACTTGTTTTAATTCTCCATCTTTCAGCTTGTTTGAACAGTTTAACACTGTTTAAAAACAAAACAAACATAAAAACTAAAACAAAATAAAACACCTCAAAAAAAGCCACTGTCATCAATTCATAATTTTTCGAAGACTCAAATCCTGACTGTGTTCTGTGTCAATAGACATTCCACTGAAAAGGAAAAGAACAAGTGTGGAAGCTTTAAACAATACTTATTCTAGTGATTTAAAAAAAATACTCACCTTAGATACTTGTACAAGTAGAAGACTAAACAGCAGAGAAAATTGATTATTGAAAGAAATTAACTTTTGATTAATTTGTACGATTAGAACTTTGAAGGATAATTAAAAGGGAATTGGGTAGAATCATTTTTTTTTTAAATCTCATGTGAACCATGCACCAAGTACATATATAGACTGTGCTCACCCAGAGAAGCAATTCTAAAATGGCTGACTTGTGTAATTCAGAAGCTATGGATGCTACCTTCTCTGAAATCAACAATTTAAAAGTTCTTGTAACTAGCATCATTGTTTTGAAGCTATTTGGGATACTGCTCAAAGGTTAAAACACAGTTAATGATGACATAAAATTCCTATCTAATTTTCCTGGCATCTTCATTATCCTACAGTCACGATCAGTTTATAACGTCTCTACACCCCTTTCAGGGACAGATCGTAACCTTTGGCTTAGTGCAGGTGTTCTGATCATCTAGAGGATATACTAACCAGGTGTATAATGAAAAGAAACAATGTTGAATGTGAGAGTCCAGGTCTCTTGGTAGGGGTTCGGCAAAGCTGTTCAGATTCAGAATTAGATTTTGACTTGTACTATATTTGCGATTGTATGAAATCTAACATATTAATAATTTGTTTCTTTGATTGAAATCAAATTTGTCATTTTACAAACTTATCAAACATATGCCATCGGGACAGGTTTATTTTGGTCCTATATTGAAAATACGGTGTATTTGCAAAATATACAGTCAAGTAGTAGTTTTACTGTATATACCTAGGCCTATAAATTTCGTTATTTCTAATAATGTTCCCTCTACAAAACTGAGAGAATATGTTTTACCTAGGTAATCTAGGTAACGGTTTACGCCGTAGAGTATGGCTAAGTGAATTAAATATTTAAAATGCACATACCTTTAATTTTTTTCTTAATAAGACAGATAAATTAAAGCATATATATGCGAGTTGAAGGAGACCTCCCATTAGAATTGGGAAAATTCTGAGCTTTTAATTTTTTTAAAATTTTTAAATCAAAATCATTTTTTTTTAAAGTTCTAAGCTATTTCTGTCATTTGACATTAAAAAAATAAACAATGATTACCTGTACAATTTTGCAGACATACATGTACATTTACACTGAGAATAACAGGTTTGTATATGAAATTTAGCAAATATAAAAAAAAATACATGTTATTACATTAAAAAAATATTTCCAGCACAATAATGAAAAATTACTTTTCAGTTTCTTATTTGGACCTTTAGTTCAGAGATTTTTTTCCCTTGATACAGTCAGATATAATTGCCGTTTGATGTAGGTTCTTGTTATATTGAAGTTGTACCCGAATGTACATCCATACATGAATGTGGAACTCTTAGCAAAAGTACCGGCAAGTAAATATCTTTATCCATTGTTATCTTTAAAAGTCATTAATACCTTTTAATACAATTGTTTTTATAAAAAATTATATATATTCTGTGATGAATAACAAAATTAGTATATAAATTCAGAGATTGCACAACAATTGATACTAGATGTTTACTACATTCGGTGCAGAAATTTTAGTTCTCCTGACTGACTGCTCTACTGAACGTGCAGGACACCATGTTATGTTTCATATTTAACTAAGGCAAATGGTTGGAAAAATGCAAATTTAAAATGACGCTTTCACCAGTGTTTACTGGATCGGAGAAAGTGTTGATGGGCGGTGACCAGTAAAATCTCTAGTATGGATGAGTGTTAGGGACACAATTTGCATTGGATGAACATATATAAATATTAAATATAGACACCCTGAAATTTTATAATATTCAAAGGGTTATGCGCATATTAGATCATTTATGTTAATAAGGATATACATGTCTGTGTTCATTATCATTTATTTAATATTTTTTGGACAGAACCCATGGATATGTATGACGTCATCGTAGTAGGTGCTGGTATTGAAGGATCGTCGACTGCCTACCATTTGGCAAAACATGGGAGGAAAACGCTGCTGTTAGAACAGGTTTAAAAAAATTAGATATTGGCATTCCTTACACATTAAAGTTTCTAATTAAAAAGAATGTTACATGTAGCAGATGTATCACAAACGCATTTAATCTTCAGCTCTTGAAGTTCCAAATAAAACTTCTAGTATGTTAACGTCTTATACAACTAAACTCTCTAACAATTGTGTATATTAGTTTCCGCTTCCCCACTCGCGGGGGAGCTCCCATGGTCAGAGCAGGATCACCAGGAAGGCTTATGGGGAGATGGAACACTTCACTGTGATGATGAAGGAGGCATACAATCTATGGGAAACTCTAGAAAAGGAGTCAGGACGGACGATCTTCAAGTAGGATGGGACACCTCACACAATTTGGATTTCAATAACGTTATAAAGGCACACTGCTTCCTGGACAATTTTTAAAAGAACATGTACCTTTTGTCTTGAATAGGAAAACTGGGATGTTGACAATGGGATCAGCAGACGACAAGTTTACAATGGGAACTATCCGATGTCTTCAACGTCACGCTATTCCACACACCGTTCTAGATTACAATCAGATGAAGAAAACTTACCCTATGGTCGAATTTCCAAGAGATTTTACGTTTGTCGTCGATAAGAGCGGAGGTATTCTAATGGCGGACAAAGCGCTAATGTCCTTCCACGTACGTTTACAAAGAACAAGTTTCAAAAGAACATTTTATTAAGCGTTTAGTACTGGTATATAAAATCAAAATCTAATACTTCCTTTTAGTAAAGTATTTTCATTTTACGTTATTAGTCCCCAACCGGTGTTCCAATAATTTTTAATGGGAACCAGATTACATTTGCCGATAAGGGACTAGTATTGTTAAATAAATGCAATACTCTCAGAATGCTTGTTCTTATTATTAATAATTTGTCCATTTTTATTGCAACCTTTTTTGAAAAAAGAAATACTAAGGATATTAGCGAGATCATAGTATGTCATTAACTTGTATCGTAGGAAATGTTCCGTTATTACGGTGGGACAATACGAGATGGCGAGGAAGTTTTAGAGATTGTTCCAGGAGAGACGGTAGAGCTACGGACTGCTACCAGTAGATACAGGGCAGGCTCTGTCGTACTGACTGTAGGGGCATGGGCAACAAAAGTGTTACCTAAACTTCAAGTTCACCTGCCAATAAGGGTATAAATTAAACATTGTATAATACAACCTAACTCATTTCACTTGCCATAAAGGTTGTGTTACATATGTATACTAGTATATGGAACATACAACAGTACAATTTAACCCAAGTTCAGCTGCCAATAATATACGGGTATATTATACAATTTAGACAATGTACAGTTTTAAAGAAGATATGTAAATTTTTGCAGATGAGAAAAATTATATAGATCATAACAAAGTAAACTTAAAGTGCTTGAACATCTTACTTTCCCTTCGCTAAAATATACATTTACGAAAATTAAATATTGTATAAACATTGTGATGAGATCTTTTAATATAATTGTATTATTTTTGAATACTTTTAAAAAAATGATCACAGATACAGTTGCATTTTAAATTTTAAAAGTATAAAATCAATCGCAGCATTCAAGTTACCTGAAGTTCTCTGTATACGTTGAAGGTCATGAGGATAAATGTACTCTATTGGAAAGAGAAGGTCAGGGGTAGATACAGTCCTGACAAGTTCCCAGTGTTCCTACAAGAGAATGCTTCTAATGGTTACGCAGTTTACGGTCTGCCTAGTGAAGAATATCCAGGATTGGTCAAGGTAACAATGACGTCATTAAAATGTTTGAAAACATTTGCTATTAATATATTTATGACCAATGGTAATAATTGTATCGCCTGTTTTTGGTACAGTGTACATGGTAGAATTTAAAGAAATCATATTTACAGAAAAATATGTACAATGTACATGTATATGAATTAAAGAAACACGACATATGGTCAGGATCACAACACGACATATGCTCATATTTCATAGACACTACATGTATTTCTGTAGTAGAAATGTTCCATCTCCGTTGACGCAAAATTCCAAATCTTAAAAGTGAAACAAAATTGTTCTTCCATTGTTTCTACTTGAGCATTTGGTGTTAGATTATACCTTTTACTATGTGCCAGATTTGCCTCCATTGGGGACCCGAGGTGGATCCTGACACACGGGACAAGGCAGATGACACATGGGTACTTAATACGATGAAGAAATACATATCAAAACATTTCCCGGACATAGAGCCGGAACCAGTCATCTCTGAAACATGCATGTATACGGTAAATTAACGATAATATCATTCAGGGACCTATACAGTCCTATAGGGACCTAGGGACCTATATACGTGTATCATTTTGTGATTTGAAATCCAAGTTGCATTATTTTATTTCATTCCAGGTAATATTAAGGGATATGTATCTACTTTCCGGTGTGTATTAGATGTTTAACGACATGGGACCACGTGATAATTTGCATAAGAACTATCATGTGGTCTAATGTAGGTTGTAATCCTGATACACAACAAAAAATAGACACATATATAAATATGTTACTTATGTACTTTGCACTTTTACCTTTAAAGCCCGCCTCTGGATCAACTTGATAAAATAAAATATAAGTATGTATTTACGAACAGAAATTCTAATTAAACACTTTCTCTCATTTTGGCCCCAGTCTCTCTTCCCAGTCGATACTAGTATACACTCAAGAAATAAATTACATTGCAATATTCGATCTTTTCCATTTAATTTTTTGTAACTTTTACATTTGTATTTAGTATTTCATGATTTCTATTGATTTTTGTTCTATTATTGTCCATTTTCATTTTTTAATTTCTATTTGTTTTATAATTTTCATTTGAGTAGATCATTTGTATTGTATATTTTCAATTTGTACTGTTAAATTTTCTATTTGTGCATTATAATTGTTCATTTTATATACTACATATTATTTTTTTTTATTCAGTATATCTTTATTGATAATGTTCATTGTATTGTGAAATATGAAGATAACGAACAGTATTCAATCTCGAAAGTCCAATGAAACGATACAAATTTGGAGCAGAGAAAACACGGACCTCAAAATTTAGAGGTGGGATCAGGTGCCATATAATTCACTATTTGCATTCTGTAATATCTCAGTTTATGTATGTCAACAGTTTGTATTGTACATGGATATGATCTACATTTGTATTGGATAACAAACCTTATTGTATCTCTAATTGGAATATGAAATTCTCATACATGTACAATACAAATTGAAACAATGACGAATACAAATGATGTAATGTGCATTTCGAATAGAAATTATATGGTATAGATAATAAATATAGAATGCAAATGGAAAATTATAAAATACGTTTCAAATAAAACATTTACATGGGTAAATATAGAATACAAATATAAAGTATAAAATGACAACCATAGAATAAAAACAACATTTCACAATGCAGAAAAGTACGTAGCACAATAACAAAAGAAAATGGACAAAATCGAATATTTCAATATTTGACGTCATTCAATTAAAATTACAGTGGTCTAAAGATGAAAATTTCATCCTTGATCATCATCCTGCCTGGAGAAATATTGTCATTGGTGCTGGATTCTCGGGTATATCAATTCTTTTTAATGAAATAAATGAATTGAAATCGTTATCAAAAGAAAAACAAAAGTTCAATGATATGTATTGGATTTCTCTTGCATTTTAGGTCATGGATTTAAGTTAGCTCCAGTGGTAGGGAAAGTGCTGGCTGAGTTAGCCTTAAATAAACCGCCTTCATACGACATGTCACCATTTAAAGTTCAACGGTTCCGTCACAATGCTAAATTATAATTTCTTTATACAAACTGAATACATAGTAATTGTAATGATTTTATAATGAAATGTTGTTTTTATAATTATAACACAATGTTTTATTCAAGCAATAAATGTTTTTGATGTTCATGACTTCTGTGTAAGGGAGATAAGGGAAATGTACATACTAGCAGCACGGGGAGGAGACATTGAACTTGATTGATCAACTGTGTATCATGCAACAACTGTTATTATTTTAAACGTGCACTATCGCTATGTTTCTCTTGCTCTTGCTATGTTTCTCTTGGCTCTTGCTCTTTGAACCGTCGGTTTCAAAACGAATTAAAGAAAATTGCAGAAAAAAGAGGCTTATACTCTAAATTTTTTAGACCATTTATTTTTCAATCTCTCTATATTTTCATGCTTAACAGAAAATTCTTTTTTCTACATGCAAACATTGAAGTGTATGTTTATTACAATCTTCCTTGAAAGACGGTTGATAGAGTTGAAGTATTTTACAATCTTTGGACTATGCACTTCCTCTCTTCTGTTATTGGTAGAAAATGCATAATGTGAAAATTTTCAATTATTTCATTGGTTGAAAAATTGTGCCAGGTAAGGGAGATAATTTTCTGATGATCTAATTTTCATATAATTTAACATTTTTTCAAGTTTTTCAATCTTAAATTAAATCGACAAAACGAACACAGAAAATCGATGAAAATGAAAATTATATATTCGATATATTCGATCTTTTCCATTTAATTTTTTGTAAGTTTGTGTTTAGTATTTCATTATTTCTATTGATTTTTGTTCTATTATTGTCCATTTTCATTGTTTAATTTCTATGTTTTTCTATTTCTTTGTTTTATAATTTTCATTTGAGTAGATCATTTGTATTGTACATTTTCAATTTGTACTGTTAAATTTTCTATTTGTGCATTATAATTGTTTATTTTATATACTATATATTATCATTTTTTTTATTCAATATATCTTTATTAATAATGTGCATTGTATTGTGAAATATGAAGATAACGACAGTATTCAATCTCGAAAGTCCAATGAAACGATACAAATTTGGAGCAGAGAAAACACGGACCTCAAAATTTAGAGGTGGGATCAGGTGCCATATAATTTACTATTTGCATTCTGTAATGTCTCAATTTATGTATGTCAACAGTTTGTATTGTACATGGATATGATCTACATTTGTATTGGATAAACCTTATTGTATCTCTAATTGGAATATGAGATTCTCATACACGTACAATACAAATTGAAACAATGACGAATACAAATGATGTAATGTGCATTTCGAATAGAAATTATATGGTATAGATAATAAATATAGAATGCAAATGGAAAATTATAAAATACGTTTCAAATAAAACATTTACATGGGTAAATTTGGAATACAAATACAAAGTATAAAATGACAACCATAGAATAAAAACAACATTTAACAACACAGAAAAGTACGTAGCACAATAACAATAGAAAATGGACAAAATCGAATATTTCAATATTTGACGTCATTCAACTAAAATTACAGTGGTCTAAAGATGAAAATTTCATTCTTGATCATCATCCTGCCTGGAGAAATATTGTCATTGGTGCTGGGTTCTCGGGTATATCAATTCTTTTTAATGAAATAAATGAATTGAAATCGTTATCAAAAGAAAAACAAAAGTTCAATGATATGTATTGGATTTCTCTTACATTTTAGGTCATGGATTTAAGTTAGCTCCAGTGGTAGGGAAAGTGCTGGCTGAGTTAGCCTTAAATAAACCGCCTTCATACGACATGTCACCATTTAAAGTTCAACGATTCCGTCACAATGCTAAATTATAATTTCTTTATATAAAATGAATACATAGTAATTGTAATGATTTTTATAATGAAATGTTGTTTTTTTATAACTATAACACAATGTTTAATTCAATCAATAAATGTTTTTGATGTTCATGACTTCTGTGTAAGGGAGATAAGGGAAATGTACATACTAGCAGCACGGGGAGGAGACATTGAACTTGATTGATCAACTGTGTATCATGCAACAACTGTTATTATTTTAAACGTGCACTATCGCTATGTTTCATACAATTATGGTCCCTCGGATAAGGATTGAGCTATAGTTGACTAGTCTATTTGGAAATGTAACACCCCCCTCACCACAAGTCTTATTAAGAACAACAGGCTTCAAGTCTATGCATTGTTTAATCAAGACTGTAGGAATCTGTAGGAATCATGGTTCCTAGGGCTAGGAAGGGCCTAGGGCATCAAGATTAAAATATAAACAGGAAAGAATCCTCTCAAGAACAGTATTGGCAAAATTAAGCCTACTTACATGTATATATTGTAGATTCAAGTTTCTTCTAATCATTACAGAGGTAACATGTTTTGTGATCTTCAGAAACAGATCTTTCATTATATAATTGCATATTTTGGATCAGAGGTTGTGCTCTATATGAAATATTTTAAAAATACCTCAACTTTTGGCAATTTTTAAGGGAATTTACAGGATATGGGGAAAATGACGCATTTTATGACGTCATAATACATTGACTAGAGAGAAAAATTACGTCATGTTCAATAGATAGACAGTCACCAAGGGTCCAAGTTATGAATACTGAATTTTCAACCAAAACTGAGCAGTTTCGATTTTTCAGAAATTCTCAGGGCCAAACAAGGCCCTAAGTGGATCTTGCTCTTTGAACCGTCGGTTTCAAAACGAATTCAAGAAAATTGCAGAAAAAAGAGGCTTATACTCTATATTTTTTAGACGATTTATTTTTAAATCTCTCTATGTTTTCATGCTTAACAGAAAATTCTTTTTTTCTACATGCAATCATTGAAGTGTGTGTTTATTATATAGTCTTCCTTGAAAGACGGTTGATAGAGTTAAAGTATTTTACAATCTTTGGACTATGCACTTCCTCTCTTCTGTTATTGGTAGAAAATGCATAATGTGAAAATTTTCAACTATTTTATTGGTTGAAAGTTGTGCCAGGCAAGGGAGATAATTTTCTGATGATTTAATTTTCACATAATTTAACATTTTTTCAAGATTTTCAATCTTAAAATAAATCGACAAAACAAACACAGAAAATCGAAGTAAATAAAAATTACTCTTTAGTTTTTTATAGCAACTATTATAAAGCTTTTTCCTATATTTTTATGATAAACAGCTAGTTCTTTTACTGCATGCAAACTTTGAAATGTGTGTTTATTCTTTTTCTCCTTCGTTTATATGGGTATGGGTAATGTCTGTAAAAAGTTGTTGAAAAAGTTCAAAGCCAAGAACTACAGTACTTAAAAATAATACGGCCTGGTAGGTGAATACAGTTTAAGGTTGTTGCTAAAGACGGCAAAGCTTTTTGAATAAGCTGTACATCTTTTCTATAGTGAGCGTTTTGAGCTTCCTTATTTTATGTAGAAAAGATCCAATAAGGTTGCTGGGATACCAGCTTGTCTGATGTAGACTCGTAGTATTTCACAGTTCTCTTTCTTTGATCGATTTTGATGGCGAAAGTGCGAAGGTAAAAGAATGATCTTTAGTTTCTCAATTTCGCCATCGCATCTTTACCCTTGTGTCTTTGCATTTTTCGCATCTTCAACCTAAAGGAAAAAGTGAAAAGGCGAGAGTCGCCCCATTGGAACACCATACACGCGTAGTTCTCGATACCTGGTAAAATTGTCCTAGACTGTCAATTATTCATGGAAGTATTATAGCTGTAAAGTAGTGCCGTATTCTGGCACATGGAGATGATACGCAGAGGAGTTACATTGCGTTTTAGTTTCGATCACCACAAAACGATATCCATGGATCAAAATGTAATCAAATCCCTCTAGAATATTCATTTAAACATTCAATAATCATATTTACAGTTTTATTTATAAATTTTTTCATGGAACAAACTTTCTTTTCTGACAAATATGTATGTGTAGTTTAAAATTCATCCTAGTATTATGTTGTGAAGTTTGGATTTACTGGGTGGAGGTACATGTATGGTAAATTTTGCATTTTCTTCCATCCAGTAACTTCAAAATGTACATGATAGTACTTAGCAGACTCTCGTGTTATGTTATAAATTGAATAGGAACAGACTTACTATTAATAGCAATAGTTCTAACCTACAACCTAGCTTTGCATAGGTCAAAGAGGCCATATGTCCCGAATTTAAATTGCAATACCATCAGTAGGGATGTATAAGCAAACTTTATTTACTTTGCAATTACATTTGTATCTCAATGAAGGGTAAAAGACGCTGAACATTCAAGCTTCTAAATTTATGCAAAATAGCTACATGTAAGATGGAGAAAATTGGAGAAGTCAATGGTTTTTAAATAATGTATACAAAAACCTTACTTTTCCATTTTTGTATGAGTAGAAGGGATACATTATATTAAGTCAAAGAAGGTAAAATCATGATTTTAATTGTAATAAAGATTTCCTTGCTAAAGAATGTATGGATAATTCAAAATATCAATTTTTGTACAGGTGACAATAATGTGATTTTGCGAGGGGAGGTGGGAGGTTGCTGAGATATTAAAAGTATATACATGTACTGAAGCAAAAAGATCCCCCTCACAGAAAGCGTGGAGCCCACCAACACCACAACAAAATCGGTTTTCTCACGTTTTGGTATGGATTTTTTTGTCAAGAAATTTTCTGAGTTGGAAATTGTTTGACTGGTTGAACCCCCCCCCCCCCCCTTGGAAAAAAATCCTGGATCTGCGCCTGTTTGCCTTGCTTAATGATTACATTAAATTTGGAAAAATTTCATTAAATTACATTTGGAAGCTTTTGTCATCTTTGATTACCTTTATTTTTAAATGTATTGATAACACACATTGAGAATAAAAACTTTACTCTTACTGTCTCAGGTACCTAGATGCTGCCATAAAACGATAATACCTAACCTAAGTGTTTGTCTCTTAATTCAATCTCCTTCATACTTGGTCAACTAGTAAATTCGGATTAAAAAGTACTTTTGGAAAGATTTTTTTGCTTAAGAAAATAAATCGACCCCAACTGGACTCTTGTATTAAAATGAAAATTTTCTAACCTTATTGCATATGTAAAAGATGACATTGGTCCCCCGATAGCCTCTATATGAAAAAGAATCTTTCATCTCACATCTATA